AAGCAAGGTGTTTCCAGTTCAGAGCCAATTGTGGAGGGACGTTCTTCTGAGCTATTTTCATCCCATCCAGTGCATGAAGTGGAAGTGCGCCTGTTTTGAATTCCTTCTGCGTTTGGTCAGACGTCCGTAGCCCTTTGGCTCAAGCTTTTGTGGCTCCACTAGTTTTTATAGCTTTTGTTCAGCCATCCGGCATCAATTCGCATACCAAGGTGATAGTCAATTGTTTGTTTTGTTCTCAATGTTTCACTTCCAACGACTGGTCCCGCAACGGGGAACCCCGGGTACCGGGTATTCGGGTTTTTCCCAAGTTTTGCCAATCCAGTCGACATTTTGCACTCCCTACCCTGAGAGCTGGTGGCTCATTTGTGAGACCCCATCTACATCAGAGAAATCCCACTTCTCCTTTGGGGAGGCTCAGTCCCTTGTTGGAAATATGGAACATCATCATCTGTTTCGAGGGCGTCAAAGTATTCTGTTTCGCTGTCCACTGACACATCCTCGACTGTTTTGTCTGGGGCGGTTGGTTCTGTTGGTTCGATATCGTATCTGAGTCGTCAGGGTCAGGCGACGCCAGTGAAATGAACCTGTTCGGTGTCATAAGCTGCTGTAACATGCTGGCGCAAGCTTGACCCTGAACAACCGGTACCCGGATGTCAGGTGTCAAGTGACAAGCCGGAAATAGTGCCGCATGCCCCGATCACCTCTGACATATCCAGCAATCATGGTGGACGAAGGAAATGGAATCCGACGACAGCAGCCAGCCAGGTCCATCATAAGATACTCTTCCAGTGGATAATGGATAATCTCTCCTGGTTGCCAGTATGCCACCGTGTATGTGTATGTGGACAACCGCAAACTGGCAGGCACTGATCCCCATCCTCTGCCTCCCAGGAGACAAGCTGTTCCAGAGCAAAGAGCTAGCCACAGGGTACAGCCTGCCGCCGATCGTACATGCGGGAGTAAAGTAGGCCTGGGACACCAACTTCAACAGTGGCAAAACAAAGGGTTGCAACCGCTTGCTGTGTCGCTCCTAGGAGTCGAGGAGGCACCCCCGCTATGGACACACCCCACAGGCTGCGATTTCGTTAGAGGGAGTAAAATAGTCGCCAAGCCGCTTGTCCCGCAAAACCGCAGTCTTACCAAGACGCAGGTGTTGCTGCTCCAGAGCCTTTGGACGCCAGTGGAAGCCCCCAATAACAACAATGACCACACACCCTGGCCCAAGGCTTGCGAGCCTGCCCATGTCTTCTGTGGCCAGCACGCGAGCCTCCAGCTCCCTACTGCCCAGATCCTCCCTCTCCTGGAAGCACTGCAACGACGACTGGGTATTGACCCTAACAATGCAGAACTAGCCACCAATGAAGTCCTTGCTAGCCATGCAGATCCTAAATACACTGATTGGAAAATCGTGGTCATGGATAATACCTCCTGGTAACTCAATGACGCTGACCCAGGGTCCCTGGACGTTCAGTGCACTGGGTTGGATGGAGGAGAACTCGATGACGATTGGGACATACTGCTCGCTTGCAAAAAGGAAGCGCATGTGTATGGGCCATCCCTTATGTGAAAATTTGACATCTGTGGTGAGATGAATCCATTGGTCTTGTCTGCATTGGAAGAAGTGAATTTGGTTTTCATCGTGATGATGAGCTCAACCGTGATGGTTGACATCGTATTTGCACGTTTCATGTTTTGCACGTTTTATTGGAGATGACGAAACCCAACAACGATATACTTTTCGTCTTCTTTGAGTACTTTGATTGCACGGAGAACATCGTGAGGATTTGAATTTGTATAGTGACATGGAAAATCAAACCATTTTCCATACTTTGCTTTAGTTTTGCAGAAGATTGTCATCGCGAAGTGCACGAAGGAATCGTGAGAAGATCGTAGAATTCATTTTGTGACTTCGGAAGAAGGAACTTTGTTTGACATTGATCGGAGAAGTTTAGGTTGTTTTGTCTCTCAATGATGATAGCGAGAGCAACGTTCTGAAAGGCATTCAGAACTGGAGTTGCTAACAGATCTGAGGGAGACATCATGAATCATGTTTTGGTGCTTGAAATGTTTCAACAGTTTTCAAACACTCAAACTTATTTAAACAAACAAACCATGTCTTGATGTAAAGACTTTTTGTGAAGACATGTGTTTTTGATCGCTTTTGTGAAAGTTAGCAGAAAGATGCTGACTGGCGACTCCGCATCGTTTTGTGTCAAGGCGTGACACACCAACAAGAACCATAGCGACATGAGCAAGACATTTTCTGTGCTTGTGTGTTTGGTAAAAGTGGCTGAGCTCTGGGAGTGTTTGACTTGGTTGCGTGGACGGTCTTAGTGAGTTAAGGACGACGTCCTGGACGCTGACCCAAGTAGGTTTCGAAGGTTGAGGTGACCTTCCGCATGGTAGCGGAGCTGCCTGCTTGCTGTGCGTAAGTAGGAATGGATTCAGGTAGTGTGAGTCAAGGTGTGCAAGGTTGTCCTAGTCCTGGTATGGCTGAAAGAGGTGAAGGAAGTGGTACCGGAAATGGTGGTTGTAACCGTAGTGACGGATTGCCGCCAGTGCCAAGAACGCCTAGTCAGCAAGGTAGTGGATCTGGGATGGATGGACAAACACCTGAAGTAAGTAACATGCCCCAGCAGCAGCCACAGCAACAACAAGCAAATGTGTCACAGAACGTACAGGGATTTGCGAGCACGACAAACCTGGATGCAGGTGGTCAGGTAGGTCCGGTGCAGGGATGTCAACAAGGAAATGTCCCCGGAATGCAAGGACTGGGACCAGCATGGTTTGGTGCGCAATGGATTCCCCAACAACAAACGTTTATGCAACAGAATTCGCAAGCGCGTGTGCCAAGTTATGGTTGTGCGAGTATGCCTGGTGGACCAAGGTCTGGAGATTTTCCAAACTTAGGAGTGAACCCAATGAGTTGCCAAGGAAACGTGCCGAGTGGCCCGGTTGGAGCGAGCTTGGGAGGCTTGACGCCTCAGGCGGCGCAGATCCAAGAGGTCATGGCCATGTTAGGTAGCATGAGTGAGGGACAGCTACAGACAGTGCAGCAGCATATGCAAGATCGTTTTGTAACTATGCAACAGAGAAGAGGGGTTCCAGAAGTGTTTGGTGATGGTCTTGGTAGGGCAGCTGATTCGTCGTTTGTGACTCCGCAGCCATTTGATGTTTTGCCTGGTTTTGGTGTTCAACAATCAAATCATGGAAATTCACAGCAATTGGATGTCTTCGCCAAAAGCGAAAAATGGTTGACACCGGCACCAACACCAGTAGGAACTTGGAAGTCAAGAGAAGAAGAGGTGTTAGGTTGGGCTGGCTATTTGGATGAGTTGTCATCCTGGGCAGCTGGTGGAAGTTTAGAATTTTCTGTAGAAATCCAGCATAGTAGCCGTTGGCCTGGTCCCATCAGATGGAGTGCTCTCAGTGGAGCACAACAGGCAAGGTCTCGAAGGCTTATGTCCATCTTAAAAGCTGCGTTTCACGACAACCCCAGGTGTGTGGCGTTGGTGAACGCCTTCAGTGAGGGTGTGGCGTTACATGGAGTAGGATCTAGTGACAGACTGGCAGTAGCAGTAAACCAACAAGCAAATGGGTTTGAACTGCTTAGGCAACTTACTCTTGAATTTTCTCTGAGGTCAAGATCCGAAGCGCTCTCACTAAGGACGCAGATTGCAGGGAAGTCCTTTGTCCTGGCGGCGACACAGACATCGCCGAGTTCCTTGGTTAGTGATACCATCAGAAGAATTGACTATGAAGCTGCAAGGTTCTTAAGGTTGTTAGGAACTCTCCCTATGCAGGTGGATACTACAGGACTGAAGCTGGCAGATTCTGACATGCTAGTTGTTCTGTTGAAAAGTTTGCCTGAGACAGTGAAGAACTACGTTCTCCACCACAGCGGCGCAGACAATTACGAGTCCTACAGGAACGCTGCGATGCGGTGGGAAGAGCAACAGCGCCTGTTTAGCGATTTTGAGACAGCAGGCCACAGCAAGAGATTGAGTTCCCTGGAGGGGAGTGTAGAGCATCATTCTCTTGATGCCGAACTTGTAGATGCAGTGGAAGGCAGGTGCGGGAAGTGTGGCAGTCGGAAACACACTGCCCCAGGTTGTACCGCAGACATGAGCAAGATTCGGTGTTTTAGATGCGGTAAGATGGGACACATCAGCTTCAACTGCCCTGAGAGCAAGGAAGGTAAGGGTAGTGCAAGGACTGATGCTTGGAACCTTTCTCGTTCCAAAGGAAAAGGTGCTACCTTTAGGAGCAAAGGCAGTAGCAAAGGAAAAGGAAAGAAAGGCAAGTTGAATGAAGTTTCAGAGGATTGGACCGACTGGACTGCAGAGAGTTGGGACGATGATGACTATTGGTGGCATGACCAATGGCCGGAGAGCTGTGATGGTCAATGGGGAGTTTCGCAGACATGGTGGGACGATTTTGTATTCTCTTGCGGGGTTCTGGCGGTACCCGGTCCTGTCATGATGAACCGGCGCGTGCATCCCAACGGAACAGGTACGAGATGATGAGAACATATATAATATATATATACGGTGAGTCCAACTTTTAATATTTCAAGATGAGAAAATCACGGAAAGTATATTTTAGAGATATTTTTGAAGGGCTTAACTCATGATTATTGATTTTTTATCTTCCCAAACCCAGGTTTCTGCAAGCTGCCAGGGTCGAAGATTCTGGATCGAGCAGGATGGCGTGATGAGGATGTATCACACCGGTGATCACCATAATATAATGATATTTTACTTAGCATCGCTAGGAAATAGCAATTACACAAACAAAAAATCAATAATATTGTACTTAATGTGTTTTTTGTCCGGGCAATACCATAATTCCCTTAAGATGACGAACATGTTTGTTGCTTATGGCAAGACAAAAAGAAGTGAAAACGATTATAAAAGCACGAGGCGGACACAATTATTTCAGGTCAGCGTTTGGCCCACGAGCTGGTAGCCATGGCCAGCATTTTCACAGAACGAGTGTTTCTGCTTCTGAAGCCGCACGTGATTCTGCAGACAGACGAGCTGAGATGTTCGCGAGGTGGTTTGCATCCCGGCAGATCTAATGCTTTACAAAATACTTCAACGCTCCAATTACGAAACTCTTGGGGTTTCTGCACGTAGTGCAATTGAAATTTGGGGGCCGGAGAATTTGGAATAAACAAAAATTGGTTCAAATATTGGGAAAAACACCATTCGAAGATTCGCCATGGACTCTGTGGACCACTCTGCAAATGAAAAAAACTTGGAATTTCTTGTGTCCTTGTTTTTCACCTAGTGAGTTCACTAGCCTCAAATTTCCCGAGAGGAACATTTTTTCACATCAGAGCAAAGTAGCATTCTTGATAGAAACAAAAATTTGCAAACATGATTGACCTGACCAATTGAAAAAGGGGGTTGGTTTTCTTTTGGACAAAAATCATCATATTATATTTGTGTGTTACCCTGAGTCAGCGTCACTCAACATCACATGGTTCCCGCTCCTTATCCCGTATAGCTAAGGGTGATGTTATTTTGATGTTCACATCCTCTTTTGTTCAACGGTCAATGAAGTTAGTGTTTGTGCTAACTTGTCACCATATTTTTTCCTTCCAACCGCCACCACCATGATACGACTATACGGTTATGGCGGCTATGGCCTACCAACTGGCAAACACTGCCACACTTAGGATTGCGCTTGCAAAGTCGCTGTCCCAACGTGGTGGTCGGATCACAGATGGTGTCTGGCAAATCCTAGCACGTTTTGCTACCAATGATGGTCTTTTCTATAGAACTACATCTGTGCCAGTCCTACTAGCGATCTTTGGGCAATGCATCCATGCAAGCCAATGGTCAGCGATTGAAAACTGATTACGTGAATCATGTCAATCTTGTCCCAAAGTCAAACATTGTCAGCGTTTAGAGCCCTCCCTCTCTCCGTCGTCTGAAGCTTTAGTATCCTCGGAAACCCAAGACAGTCAGACTTCCACGGGCACCCAACCACGGAGCCAGAGCCAGCAAGATTCGGCATGCGAGACCGTGTGCCCCATTAGTGACAGTGGAGCATTGACAACGATACAGTTGTTGAACCGATGTGTCCATCTTCCACCTGACCTTTTTGCAGACTTATCCACGGCAGAGCAACTTTATCACATCAACTGCAGAGATGTGGCAATCAAAAGGCTACGTTCTGAGGTGGCACAGGCCCCGGGTTGGAATGGGTGACTGAATTTAACCGCCTTCGGCATTCCGCCGGCCCTTTGGCTTTTTGGCCTGCAGGCCCAAAGTTTGGGTTGTGCAAAGCTGGTTGGTGTAAAGCTGGTTTGAATAAAGGTGGTTTGTTTTGTTTGTGTAAAAGCTGGTTTGTGAAAAACATGATTTGTGCAAAAGTTGGTCAAAGCTGGTCGGTGCAAAACTTGTTTGTGTAAAAACTGGTTGGTCGAAAAGTTGGTTTGTGCAGAAGTTGGTGCTTGTAAAAGATCATTTGTGGAAGAGCTCGTGAGTGTGAAAGGTGGTTCAGTGGTTTGGGGAAAAGCAAGTCCGTTTAAAAGCGGGTTTGTGTAAAAGCTGATTGGTGTACAAGCGGGCTTTTGCAAAAAGTGTTTGCTGGTTGGTGTAAAAGTTAGTTTGTGTAGAAGGCCTTGGAGATTGCACAGAAAGGAGCCAAGTTGGTAGATGTAAGCGGCATGGCTGTGAGAGTGCGTGCAAAGAAGGTCGTGAGCGCAGAGGAAGAGCAGTGACAGATGCTTATGGAAAGTGTTGGGCACAAAAGCGACAGGTTGGGGAGCCGGAAGAAGAAGAAAACCTGATGATGATGATGATGATGACGATGACGATGACGATGATGGTGACGATGACCACCGAGACGATGGTGATGTAAATAATGTCAGTGCCAGATAGCTTGAGAAAGAGACGAGATAAAACGACACGAGGCTATACTAGACTATATCAGACTTGACTGATTAGACTAGACTATACTAGGCTAGACATACAAGACTGAATTAAGCTATACGAGATTAACTAGATTATAGTGTATGCGTGGTGGGGTTGCGGGTGGTTGGGGGGGATAGGGGAGCGAAAACGAAAATCCATCGAAGGAGGAAGTATAGGTGAAACTAAAGCTATCACAAGACGTGTTAATTACAAGATCATCCACAAGAACATCCACCTTTTATAATATAATATTGATTTTTTATTCTCAAAAGAAAGCAACGACTCCTTATTTGGAACTTGATTCAGTGGTTCAAGGAATCGAGGCTTTACCTTCAATCCCTAGAGGCCATTCGACCGCGTTAGCGGAGTTGATGATCAGACAGACATGCAGTAAACAGTGACCAACCTTGTGACTGACAAGGAAAAAGACGAGGACTAAACGGACTGACTGTGACTTTCACTGACGACTCAAACTGATGACTGTATTAGACTGTATTGACTGACACTGTATTGACACTCTATTGGTTGGCATCGGTTTCTGGCTATGGCCGGCCATTGCCAGTATGCCAGTATGCCTTTGCGTATGTGGCAATCATGTGGCAACTCAGGCTCGCCTTAGCTGTAATAATTCTGAACATATATTACTTTACTATATTACATCAGTTCCTCAAGTGTTGAGGTGTTGAGTTGAGGTAGTTGATTGAGATCATGACAAGACTCCAAGACTCGGACATGCCTGACTCGACTCAGGACTTAGATAAATATAAATAATCATGACATGAGTCTGACATGAGTCAGAAGCCACATGTGGCAATGTAAGACGTAAGATATTAGGATTTGCGCGCCAACATACAGGACACACATACTCATGTTGCAGGCTCAATGACGGGAGCATATTTAGAGCATATCCAAAAGATGATGATGTTGAATGGTGTTGGCCGGTGTTGGTCAATACGCAACATGCAATCAAACAATCAATCATAAGTCAAAATACTAAACAGACATATTAATATTACTGTAATTCTTGCCTGCCTGTCCTGTCCTGCCCTGTCCAACCTACAATATAGCCAACCAGTCGCTTCGTTTGCAGGTGCGTCAGCAGCTTCGAGTACGAGGAGCTGGTGGAGCTGCCAAAGATCATGCTTCAGCACCTTTGGTGGGTCGAAGTAGGAGAACTGGTAGAAACAATGACCAACTTGGAATTCAACCAGTGAAGTGCGATCTGAGTCCAGAACAGTTATGGGATGCAGTTCGGGGAGATGTCCCGATCACAGCGGCCATGTTTGAAATTGAAACAAAGGGTAAGGATCGTTATACCAGAAAACGCCAGCACTTGACACCACGGGGTCAAATAGTGGCAGCTGTCAGAAAATGTTTGTCGAACATTGCAGCAGCTGATATGGGGAAACTTTTGCTGACCGATATATCGAAAGATTCTTTCTTGAAGGCCGAGATCATTTTGGGGGCAACAAGGGTGTGCTCCTTTCGTAAGTTTCATGAAATGTTTGAACAAAAACTGACAGCCTCAACCTCGACAACTCCGGGACTTGTTGTGCATTCGTTCAGCGACTCGGCTGCTGAGGTTGGGGTTCGGGTCCGGAATCCGGAATCTAGAGCTCCAGAGAGAGTTTTGTTGATTTGGGTAGGGGCGGTAATGGCCATGGGCTCCTTTTGATGAAAAATAGGGTCCAGGGCCCCGGGGGAGTAGGATTAGGATTTAGATGTCTGTCGTTTATAAGAGCGACATTGGCGTGTCACAGTCACAGTGTCAATATGAAATTAACAAATCAGTTGAAAAGACTCATGAACTCATGAACTCATGAACTAAGTGGGTATCACTTTGGGCTACCACTCCATCACCCTCATAATCATCAGCAGCATCATCCTCATCGATTTGACTCCGAATCATCGCCAACATCAACATCATCATGATCACCACTGATCAGCTAATCCCGTTATCATCATCAACAGCATTAACCTGCACATGTGTATTTTGTATTACTATCAGCTTCAAATCCTGATCACCATTCGTCTACCAATAATCAAGCTGCCAACCATGGTCTGAATGCTGTTTTCAATCAACCCGTCGGTCCGTAAAAGCATGATTTAAGATTCTCGGGTTCTCCACCCGCTGAGTACCGAGGCAGTGATGCGACAACAACTTCAGTTTGGCAACGATCGAAGCTTCTCAGTCTTGAATTGGAGACATTGTACCTTCCAGAGGTATCTCTTTCCCCGGAATGTCAGTGGCGTAGGAAGAAAGCATTTGCAGATTTGCAAGTGGTTTCCGACGAGACAGCAGTTGGAACGTTTTACCTGGCTCAACGCCAGCTTGAATCACTGGGAGCTGTTGGTGTGGGCAGGGAATCTCCTCAAATGTCACAGGGTTCTGCATCCCCTCCGATAAGAATCTATGCTTACACATCAGACGGGGGATCGGACCAGACCAAATTCAATGCGGGACCCTCCTTGAGGAAGACCCTTCAACACTTTTCCTGGCCTTCAGTTGCTACATGCATTGTTGTCAGTTGATAGTGAAGACAGGACTCAACGTGGTCGACGCATGGTTCAAAAAACACGTCGACCCAGATGTCGGAAAACCATTCTCATATTTTGCCACTATCGCGAAGATATCTTATACATGGAGGGACTGCAGCAAGCTGATCTACAAAAACTGGGTTCGAAAATTAGGAGTTGTTTCAGCGGTCACAAACTGTCGCAAGATCATTCCAAAATGTGTAGCAGGGCGATGGGGATCCATTGCAGATGTGGAAGGGTTTTTATTGGAACGGAAAGTGACAAACATTCTACGTGTGATTCCTGATGCCTTCGGTTTCAATCTCGCTGGAGCTGCTTCATTCCTGGATGAAGAAATTGACGATGATGTTGATGCAAGCAACTTGGCATTTTCAACGCGGCGTGTTGCAGCTAAGAAAGTGACCCACGTGTTTTCTTAATGAAGGATGTATCAGCTAAGCAGCTAAGCCTGAGCCTAAAACCTCTTTTTATCTCTGCTATACAGTCTAGAGTCTAGAGTCTACACTGACTGGCTGTCTACACTACATCACAGCGCACCAACGTTAGAATCAACATCCACAGCCACATCGGTTTAACAATGAAGGGTTCAATGTTTCAGGAATATGTTGTTACATGGTTGCAGCATGGTTACAATGTTTTGATACAGATGTCTCATCACCGCTACATTTGTTCTGACTGGTTTTTGTGACGGTTTTGAAACGTGGTGTGACATAGTACGCAGTTCGCATGCTGGCAGCATGCTGGCTGTTCTCTTCACGTTGCATGCATTGCATTGCATGCATCCATCTCATCTCTTGTCTCTGCATGTCTCTGGTTTGTGCGATTTGCGCCAGTAATGATTAAAGAACAATATATCAAGTACCAAGCACTACATCAACGTACATCAACATCAACTTGTGTGTGTACTGTGTAAGCAGTGTAAGTGTATGTGTATGTGCACTTTTACAATGTTAAAAATAATGTTGCCTTATGTGATGTGATGATGTGCTGTGCCCGCATGTGGCACACGTGTAACCAGGCCTTAGAACCAGCCTGTACGTCTGTAAGTCGATATAACTATATAAATATATAATCAAACAATATTAGTACTGTGCTGTGGTATCAAAATGTTTAGATGATTATGATTCGATGATTCGATGATGTAGAATCTGAACCCAACTTTTACTTTCTCACCAGCTCTAAAGTAAAATATGCAACCTGGCAAGCAATGCAGCGGTTAGCTTTTTTTTTTAAACGAATCTATCTCTATCTATGGAAACCTATGGCCTGGCATGTCCTATAATCAGGCATCGTATGTGACAATACTTCTGTGATATTTTTGGGTGAGTCCGGGGTGAGTGGTGTGTGGGTGTGGGGTGGGTTGTGAAACCGTTGGAACGTAATATTTTTACAGTCGTAGTTGTAGCTACAATGTAATGTAATGTCATGTCACACACATGGCAATGTCACCGTTTAGCAAACGGTACAAATGGCAGTGCAAATGTGGTAAGCTGGTAAACAAAAAGATGGTACCGCAAACAGCGGGCAGTAAGCAGATTCAGTTTGAACAGTGAAAAATAATGAAGTAGTGAATCAGTAAAGAACAAGAAATATGTATCTTACTGTCTTACTGTCTCTTCCTGTCCGTCGTTATTTTCTATTGATTGATTCTTTTTTTGTTGGATTGATGGATTGGTAATCTTTGGGTTCATGTCTTTGAAGGGTTTGGGATGCTGGAATGTATTTGGATTCAACTTGTTCAACTCTCAGCTGCGACGATATATATAAATAAATCCATTAAACCCATGCTGCTTAACTTGACTGCCACCGCACTAGCTGCACCACCTACCTACATCACCTATATACCTCAAATTAATTGTGCTACAAATGCCGGGCTAATGCCCTGCTATTGCGTATTGTTGTCATGTTGTCACAGTTGAAAGCACCTTTGCCACCACCATTACCAGATTCACTGTCACCATCACCGCACCGCTTGATTGCTTTACTTCACTGTCACGCCTGTAATTCTTTCAGGTCGGGATGGCAATCGACTTGACCGTGATGATCGTGACGACCCACCCATCCCGCTGGAGGACATCATGAAGTTGAGCCTCGAATCTGTTGGATCAGGCAATTTCATGGTGACAGGGACGGCCCTGGAGACCCAGAAAGGATAGAAATGAGAAACTATAAATACAATTCTCGCGTAGGGATTATCTACCTGCTGTGCCTGCAACAAGGGCTATATCGAAAAAACTAGTATACTCCGTAAGAACTTTGAAATTGTTGAAACTACCTCACTACCTCGGTACTACATGAGGATTGGGGTGAGGTGAGCGCCCGAGGCCATGAGGCGTGATCAGGTCATTGTCGGGTTATTGTCTAGTCTCGGTTTGCCCGTGATTTGTCCTGTGAAATTGCAAACAAGGGGGTGGGCCTGATGGGGCTCTTGAGTCTGGTGACTTGGGAGTATTGTAGTCTGGTAATCATTTCACCGTTCATGCTGCTGCTATTGACAATCAATTCCTCGCCAACTCCTCGCCAACTCCTCGCCTCGTCAAAGACGCAATAGCCACTGCTTGGCTAAGAATTATCAGAGCCCAATGATTGGTTGATTGCCTGGCTTAGTGACATTGGAATGTGCTGGGCTCCTCGGTCCTCAATCCTATGTATTAAATACCATCTTTGTTTCCCTCGTATGTAGCGAGTCTCTAGTTGTAGTTGTAAAGTTGTCGAGTTGTAGAGTCGGACCTCAGAGTCGGAGTCATTTACCGTTTCTCAAATGTCTCTTACTATCTGACTATTCATTTCATTTCTGCTGATGGTGTTGATCTTGGTCTTGGTCGCTGTCGGTATAGTCAATGTCAGAATGCCAAGTGTCTTGCTAACGGCCATGTGACACAGGTGACAGACATGACGGAGATGGCACCGTGGATCGCGACCAGGCCAGCCAGCAACTGACTATGGGCTTGCCCAGCCTAGCAATTTTCCCGCTGGCTTGCCCCCCATCCAACGAATTCCCCCAAGAAAAGATGACAAAAAAACAGACCTCCCCACCCGCCCCGGGGGGGGGGTCTGTTTTTGGGTGTTTTTTTAGGCAATGGCAAGCCATGAGGAAAATTAAAGCCTATCTGTCACCATCAACTGGTTCAACAGTAGAGATTCATTGCTTATCAAAATTCATTGAGACGTGAAATTTGTGATTTCATTTGTTAAGCCACTAGTGGTTAGTGCATTAGGAGTGGCACTAGAAACCCTAGCTTCATTGGAGGTTCGTAGGACAACAACAAGTGCTGCTGCTGCCCTCTTCCTTTTTTAAGTTCCGCTACTACTGCTACTTCTCTTCCTAGTGCTGCTTCTGCGACTACGACTACGACTCTGTGAATATATATATATACATAATTCGTTTAGTTATATATATATATACTACTGCTACTAATGCTAATACTACCCCGCTTCCTCTTACTACTGCCCATTCTAAAAGTATTAGAACAGCCGTAATAACGTTATAGGACTGCTAGGCTATAAAGAGTGACAAGAGTCGTCAGTAGTCGTCATCAATGTCATCAATGATATCGACATCATGGAGTGGACCGTTTATATAATAAAATCTGAGGCCACCAATGCGGCGCCAGATGATCCATCAGCTGAAGAATATCAGGAGTACCGAATTCGGTTGGGGCGGTGGCGACGTGACACTATTGCTGCCATACTGAGTCCAATTTGGTGGCTGGTTCACAATATCGTGACACGACTTCACGGACCTTTGACACATCATTTTGCATACATTCGAACCAGCAATGTTTGTCCAGTGCTGGCCGAAATGACCTGCGTGAAAGCTCAAGAAATCTGCAAGGAATTTGAATCTTTGGTGTCAAACAAATCGTCATGGGCTAAAACAATCGCACTTTCATTCTTGGGGTGTGGAGAAGCCCTACCAGGTGCAGTAACGTTATCAGATATCCTTGAGCTGGGTGTATGTCTGAATTTGCACCATCATGCAGCCTACAGCAGGCGAGTTGTCAGAGACACACAGAGGTTTCCTTTGGCTTTGTTCTGGTTGGCCTACTCACCACCGAATATTTGTTGCAAGAAGCGGCAGTCTATTGCAACTTTTGTTCTCAACTCCAACCCAGACTGTCTAGAGGCCAACACTCGGAAACTTCGGGGTTTGGCTTACGATGAGTTTCAACAGATGGCTGCTTCTGGAGTTTGCGGGCCAATCTTATATTCCATTATGTTAGCCGTGACGACAGTCGCCAAAGGGGATGTTGCAATTAATGAGGGTCACAATTCTCTGATCAAATCAATTGTTCAGAGATGTCGATGCATTGGCCTACCTTTGCTCTCTGCCAGATCCAATTGTAAGAAAGAACTCAAGGTTGGAGTCCGAGGCGCCCCTACAAAGTGGTCAGGTGTGAAGAAGGAAGCTCTTCTCATGGTCCAGGACAGCATGGTCGTGTGAGCTTGTGTACGAATAATAGTAAACAGCCAAATCAAGTGACATGATTCATGCTTCAACGAAATAATGGCAGTGACATGATGGTGATGATGGTGATGATGAAGATTCTGCTGCTGATGATGATGATGATGATGATTGATGATGATGATGATGATGATGATAACTCTGCTGATGGTGATGGTGATGATGGTGGTGATGATGGTGATGATGATGATGCTGATGATGACGACGATGATGGCTGTTGATGGTGGTTTCAAAAATGTGATGATGGCAATGGCATTGATGATGATGATGATGATGGTGGTGGTGGAGGTGGTGATGAATTTGATGATGATGATGGTGATGATGATGATGGTGGTGGCGGTGGTGGTGATGGCGATGGTGATGACGGTGATGATGATGATGATGAGGATGATGATGGTGATGATGATGATGATGATGGTGGTGGTGGTTGTGATGGTGATGATGATGATGGTGTTGATGATGAAAATGATGATGATAATGATGATGATGATGACGATGATGATGATGATGATGATGGCGCATCGTAGTTTACATTGTGCGCATTTTCACCAATATCCATTATATTTTGTATTTTTGATCTTTGCGTTCTTTAGTTTGTGTGGCCTGCGGCCTGCGGCTATTAGTGAAATATTTGTGGATTGGCAATGGATTGCCCACGTTTAGGCAAGACCATCACTGACCATAGGATCATAGGAGAGGACAGACCGACGCAGAGCGACCATATGGCATATGGCCAAAGAGGCGCGTAGGAGTAGGAGCCATAGGACCGTAGTATGGTAAGACTCCGTTAGGACTCCGTTAAGACTCCACCCGTCCCTAAAGCCCTACATGCCTGCTCTGAAAACCTCTATCCTGAATCCTGGCCCAGGTCCTATAGAACACTATCTTATCATTATCATCCCCTATCATCTAATCCCGTCCCTTCCAGGACTCTGTTGAGAACTATAGAGCTGCTTTTGAAAAGGTATTGTCAGACCCAGACCGATTTTCCTGTTCAATCGATTGTGAACGGCAAAGAGACATTGACAATGGTTTCAATCTTCCTGCTGACGAGCAAATCACTTCCTGTGCCAGTGCTGCAGTTCGGAAACAAAATACCATACCTGGTCTTACCTTCGCTTGTGAAGTAGATACTGCTGATGCCTCCGATGAAGCCAGAGCTTGGGGGTATGTATCTTGTCTGATTGCTTGTCTTAGGTTTTGCCGGCCTTTCTCTGGGTAAATGGTCTGTTATGGCAGATAGTAGTCTGGAGCTGTTCGCATTGTTGTAGTTGCCGCCTTTGCACTTGCAGTTCGGAATTCTGGGTTCAAGTCAAGGTTATTAGAATGACAAAACTAGCGCATGGCAAAAGGATTTCAAAAGGATGAGGATAATTAGGCCCAGGCAGCTCAGGCCATACCAGTGCATGTCAGTGATTCATTTACTTGAATCAGTTAGTATAGGTTTACTAGAAAACACAGCGCGCACTGGCAAAGCAAACAATGGCAAACTCAATCGCAGCATTACGGCATTACAGTCATTATTACAGCACATTACTGTGCATTCATACCGTTACATCGCAATTTCAGGTGCATGTGCATGACATGACATGACCCTTACCTTATCATTACATCATCACATCACTATTACCTTGCATTACATTTAGGTTCCGTTACATTACATGCATTACATGAGCGCAACTGCTTCAATAACATCACATCTCTAGTAAGAACATGGGTTCAATGTATGTCAGGTCAGGTCAGTTGTGTGTCTGTGTGTTTTTATTTTCATGCCCGGCTCCGGCCAAGGTTCAGTCTGTACGTCTTCATCGGATGAAGCAGTCGATCTCGGCAGAGACTTGTGTTGCTTTGGGGTCTCTAACAGACAAGGACTCTCGCGGCCATGTGATCCAATCTACAGCCTGGATGATAACTGACAAAAATTACAGTTTGGCCATGCTGACTAAGCTACAAGTGATTCCTGTGTCCGACTGTCGTCAAGACTTGATTGAGGCTGCCGCGATGTGCAACCCACCTGGTACCCAAGTTGATTTCATTCTTTTACCAGCAAAACCTTTGTGTACGATACCAAGCACCGACTGGTTCTCTGCCATCGTATATGAGAAGTTGGTAGCCGATGAGAAACGTGAGGTTGTATCTTGGATTTTGGATGGAATGGATTGACATGAGTCGGTCTGGGCCGGTATGGTTTTGGTTATCAGGCTATCAGCTCGAGGTGAGAAGGTTAACATTAATTAGAGGCTTCGAATCAGATGAAGACATATTCTTCCTCCAAGGTCATTACTACCATCAGCTTCAAATGACAACAGCAGCTATAGTTTGTCAATGCAGTGATGATAGCGACAGCGAACTCCGTCGGAACTCCATGAACTTTGTGAACATGACTGAAACGCAATATAGCAATTTAGCAATACGACATTGACTCTGTGACGTGGTACGACAGTACGCTCAGCCTTGACTTCTGAACTCCTAGACTCCTCCCAACCGCGTATTTGATCATTATGATAGCTGATTGGAACGGTCCCTATCTAAATGTCGTAAAATAATGATGTAGTACGGTGTGATGTTTTTTTGGGGGCCATGTTGAGCCTATCTTGAGTCTTGAGCCTATGTTGTGACATTTGGAGGGTATTCAGTATTCATGGCAAACCCTGGCCAGCTTTGGGTTTTGTGGTCCGAAAAACTCATCAACAACAACATGTTCAAGTTGTTGTTGAGGGCAACCTTGGGGAAATTATTGGCTCTACGAAATGAAGCAGGAAAAGGGGATAGGGGTTTTCATGGTTCTCGAATGGTTCTCTATTGGGCCTATTGGGCGATGGTGGGCTGATGATTGATGATGGGTCCAGTACTACAGTATGGGCTTATACTGGCCTATACTGATGGCTTCTTCTGGGTCATTTCGAACGTAGTCATGGCCTATCTTGGCCAGCTTTGTGGTCCGAAAAGCACCTCAACAACAACAAGTTGTTGTTGAGGTCATGTTGGGGCCAACCTTGGGGCCATGTTGGGCCATGAAAAGGGGGTTAGGGGCCTTAGGGGTTTCATGGTTCCCTCTCGGGCGATGTTGGGCGAATGTTGGGTCCATTTTGGGCATATGTTGGGCCGGGCCATTTCGAGCGTATTCATGGCCTATCTTGGCCAGCTTTGTGGTCCAAAATGCACCTCAACAACAAAAAGTTGTTTTTAAGGCCGTGTTGGGTCCAGCCTTGGGGCCATGTTAGGCCTACCTTGGCACTAAGGCCCAAATGCACGCGCAGTTTTGCGTGGACTCATGTCGGTCATGTGGGGGTGATGTGGGGATGTTGGGCCTGCGCCTACGCCTGGGTTGGATTATGTTGGTAAATACCTGCAGGGTCTTTCACCTTCTGCCTGACTCCGGCACGATTCCACAGCTCAGGCAGACGCGCTCTCATATGCAGTAGTATTGCCTTTACCCCATTACCACTACCATTATTTGAACTACCCTTTTGCACTTATTGGTGGCCATGATGATTTTGCTTTTAACATTATTGGTGATCATCATTCTCATGATTATGGGCATGGGATGCGGCATGGGTGATTTCTCCTATTTCCGAAATGCCATAATCATGGACTATGGACCATGGATAATCATGAATAATCATGGCCTGGCATAATGGTTATCATAGCTGCATAGCTCATGAAATCATGACAGGACAGGAAGTGTTTATGATTATGAAATTATGAAATGATGAATTCTGGGAACTCATGGGTTATCATTGGCCATTGGTTTTCAATTATCAAATGATGTGATCAGTGATGATGTGATGGTGAGCGGTTTTGAGTTTTTTGATTCATGATTTGTTTCAATCAATGATGTTATTGTTTTATTTGCCCCCTCAGCCCCGGCTCCTCAATGTCAGTGGATCACTGATGATGGTTCTGGTTTCGATCATGATTCACGATGGTCAATGGTTGTCCCTTTCCCAGCTTTCCGTATCAGACCCGTGTCAGAAAATGAGGCAAATTGTATCTAGCCTAGTCAGCCAGTGGGTGTTTCCTTTATCAGGCAGAAAACCCATGTTAAGTGACTGAAGGAATTGGGATGGGCTGGGAACTTTTGAGCCATCATCTTCAACTTAGGCAACATTCACTCCGAAGATCTACAGGTACAAACTGCATTGGTGCTACAGCCTGGACACTGATTCGTTGTTTGCCACCACCAGCATCAGCGATGAATTCCCTCTTTTGGCTGTGACTGTTTCTGCTAGCCGCAAACGACAAAAAACAGACGACAAAGGGTCAGGGCAAGCCAAGAAGTATGCCAAGCCAAAAGGGAAAGAGGGAGAAGACAATCAAGATTTAGATCTAGATCATGATGTTGAAAATACTTGTGGCCGTGGTTCTTCCACTGGGCGGTCCGGGCATGAACGTTCAAATGAGGAGCTAAAGGCATTGGCTATTCAAATTGCAAATGGTACAGAAGATCCAGATCTGCTTCCAAGGGATGTGGGAGATGCGGGTGGTTTACATCAGAATTTGGCCATAGTGCTAGGCGCCTTTGAGTCATCCAACGACGAAGCTGATGAAGCTATGAGCAATTTTGAAACCTGGCGGGAGGAGGATAGAGTTGCGACGTGTGCTGATATGTTTGACAAGCAAGAGCAAGATCTGGCCACATCTACAGAGGCCTTTGGAGATAGATTTTTGATTAGTTTGTTTTGTCAGGCAGAAGTTGGTACGGGTTTCAAGGACAAGTCAATCAGAATCAGAATCGAGAATCGTTGACTTGCATCTCATCATGTCTCATTTATCATTCATACATCATGTGTTTTATTTTTATATCATGTATATTCAACGGTCATCACTGTGACCGGGCCGGCCAACCACTAAGCATCACCATCATCCCCATCATCACAAGACCAGAACCAAAGAATTTTCCATTAACCTTCATCACTATCGTCAGTTTTAAATGGTTCAGGCGGTTAAATGTCAAAGTAAGTGATTTTACGTTTGTTTCTTACCTTTCTTTGCTTGTCCTGTGAACTTTTATTCTGTTTTTAAATCTTTCCTTTTCCTTACCTTCCTTCCTTCCTTCCTTTTTCCTTTCCCGTGAACGGCCCGTGAACCTTTACTTTCTTTCATTTGTTTCTTTAGTTTCCTGTTCTTTTTCATGTCTGGTACCATCATTGAGTTCATTGATCAATTCCTGTTTGTGCTGTTTCTTCTTCTTGTCATGTTGACCTTCCTTTCATTTTTTTTTAGCACTGCTGCCGGCTATTCTGGCTACCATTGGTCACCGCTACCGACGCTACCGCCTAGAAGACCAGAGAAACAAACAAACAAACAATTCAAAACAACTATATAGCCTTTTCCTCTACAGCTACTTGGTCACTGGACATCCCTGTGGTTCCTACTTAGCTCCAACCACTCCAAACGGCGTTGAAGTTTGCAATATCTTCTCTCATTGTTGTTATTCCGTATCAGGTCCGTTCCCTTGCCTTTACTTTACTTCTTTGCATCTACATAATCTCCTTTGCTTTAATGCATGTTGTTTACTATCCATGAGTTGTTGTTTATTATCCCTTTCCTTCTCCTTGTCATTAATATGTTTAAACTTTAAACGGTTTGTCAGTGTCAGTGTTGATGTTTTTTGAACATTGAATAGTATCACTCGTTACTAACAAAGTAAGTTTGTTAGCGTCCTTTTTTGTGTTCTTGCTGTTCTTCTCTTCGTTTTCATTTATTCTCTTGCCTTTCCACCTGATTCATTTTCTCTTGTCTGTCCAATGTTCAAAGTTCTTTCGCGCGTGCCTTTTTTTCTTTAAGCTGCTTGCCACCTTCGACTGCTTTACCCTGCCAAAGACAGGCTGCTTGACAGAATGCTTCACTAGTGCACTAGAGGCTGTTGTGAGTGGGGATGGTGAGCACGGGTGATGGGCGAGTCGCCGACCGGACCGGTGATTCCTCGCAGGCAGTGGTGATGGAAACGGTAGAACCTCGCGAACATCCAAGTGATGATCGAGAAGCCTTGCTGCAAGCCCAATATGACAAGGAGCTGGGGATTGACTCTAAATCGCTGGGGTGTCACGGCTCTGGGAGAGAGTTTGAATCTGAACCTGCTGATATGAACGATATGAGCTCAGTTTGTGGTGACAAGTCTTCCGAATCTCCTGAACTGACTGTCGCTGAACGTGAGAGACAACAACAGCTCAAGAATATTAAGTTTTGGATTGCTGAGTGCGATGCTGGTCGCAAGGCTTTGGAAGACAGAATTACTGACAACAATACAACCACAACCCCTGGTGGGCCCTGGCCACATGAGCTTTCACTTGTTGCAACATATCCAACAAAGTCTGATACCGTCTTGAAATCCACAGATACTGCTACGACTGGGGCTGGGGTGACAAGGTGTCGTCCATGTTCGAATTACAATGTGAATGGAAATGCGACACTATTGGTTGTGGCATGGAATGATTCAAAAGGTCGTACCGGGCGGGTATGTGATGTCAAAGACAACAAGGTGCTTGCTTTGGTGCCAGCCCGTCATTCTCTGATGGATTTTAGCGACTGCCATTGCGAAATTATATTGAACACCATACACCTGAGACCTCACAAAGAAGGGCCCAAGAGTAGACCTGAATTACCGCCTTTGGCTGCTCGATTATACAGGATGTATGATGCAGTCATCGCTAGGCAACATGCAGGACCTACTGAATCTCTTACTTTGGATATGTGCCTATGGTGTAACGGGCGTGATATCCCACTACTGACAAGTGCAAGATCAGACGGTGTCTCGGCTCCAAGTTCAACACCCAGTGATCCTGCAGCAAAACAACATTGGTTGTTTGGCCATGAAGGTGATGATGATGATGATGAAGACGAATCATCCGATTCAGTTCCTGAGCCCACGATTATATGTCCGTTATGTTTGATACCTTGTCACTTTACATGTGCAGCAAGAGTACTCGCCAAGCTTGACCAAATTGCAATGCCTCCTCTGCTGCATGTACGAGATGAATTTCCAAACGTCGACCCAAACCTTTTACCCGGTAGATTTGCGCAGCAGAACCATAGCGGCCATAGCGGGGATACCGATACACAGCAATTTTTGCTGTGTGCGTTTTGTCAGCATTCGGTTCAGCGGCCACGTTGAGATCTGAATGGTTTTAACAGGATGGCATTGTAAGACTTGTAAGGGCATGTGAGCATGTCATGGTAGTAGAAGGTAGTGATTAGGTAGTTAGTAGTAGGCCTGCCTTTAGCATAGTAATACAATACAATAGAAATATGAGTATTTAGTATTAGTATTACAATACAATACATATACAATTACAAGTATGCAATTTAGAAGCCGATTCATACAGTCATAGTCTTTTCTCCGTTTTGTTATGTTGTTTCGGGTTTTTACTTTTTGCTTGTGAACTCATGTTCGAGGGCTCGTGGGTCATGGTCGCAGTGGATGGGTACGTCTTAGGTCTACGTCTTTGATACGATTGATGTTGATCATATTAGAGAAGGTACCATGGTGGCTAAAAATTAGTAAGAATGTAAACTTACAAAGCCCATATATGTTGCAGTTACGTTACATCGGCACTCACTTACATGTTTATTTCTAATTATCATTATATAGCTATTATTGCTCTTGCCTTTCTTGCTGCTAATGCTGCTCACTGCTCACTGCTGCTCCTGCGAGTGCTTTCAGTAGTAGCAGCAGTGGCAGCGGCGGCAGCAGCAGCAGGAGGAGGAGGAGTAGTAGTAGTGGTAGTGGTAGTGGTAGTGGTAGTAGTGGTAGTTGTAGTGGTAGGAGTAGGAGTAGTCGTCGTAGTAGGAGCAGTCGTAGTAGTAGTAGTAGTAGTAGTAGTAGTAGTAGTAGTAATGGCAATGGTAGTGGTAGTAGTTGTAGCAGTAGCAGTAGTAGTAGTAGTGGCAGTAGTGGTAATGGCAATGGTAGTGGTAGTAGTTGTAGCAGTAGCAGTAGTAGTAGTAGTGGTAATGGCAATGGTAGTGGTAGTAGTTGTAGCAGTAGCAGTAGTACTACTGCTGCTGCTGCTCCCTGACTATCATTTATCATTTACATTGGTTGACAGCTGGCGGATACTTCAAGTGGCCTGTACCGACGTGCAGTTGTACAGTGTACAGAAACTTTGCAATGACATTGGTCGGGCGTTTCCTATTCATCTCTTTTGCTGTTTGGTCATCACGACAAAACAACGGCAGATGTTATGATGATGATTCGATTGTGAAAGTATTATAACTGCCTATGGTAATGACAATCCTAAGGTGACAATCCTAAGGCAATCCTAAGGTGACAATCCGATCACATTATCAAGTTGATTCGATCGGTCAGTTGCAAAGTTGCAATGGTTTATTGCAAAGGACAAAGACATATAGGCATATCATATAGACGACAAATGCATTTTTATTTTTTCAGGTAAACCAGGTACAAGTAAGTGACAAGAAGTGAAGTAGAGAAGTAGAGAAGTGACGAACAACAAAAACAATAACAAGTAACAAGAACTAGGACATACCATCAGGCCCATCAGAATCTTCATTGGGTTGCAATGCAATGATGATGTAATAAATAATGTAATATGAAATCATGGTTGTTGATTACATGATCCGATTCATGGCCAAGAAGCAAGAAACACATTTGTTATGATTGTTATGATTGTTATGTCTTCGTTTTTCCCTACACAGTAGTGGTGCTAGCAACGATAGCTTGTTGATTGAGGCTGATTCATCTGCCAAGTCAACAACTACTATGTTTCGAGTCTCGGGCTCCGAGGCAACTGGACTTAATTTTAAGATTCTAAGATTTATATTGACTTATCTCATTTTTGGAAGATGACCAACTAGTGTGTGTCAGTGGTAGTATACGTGGCTTTGGCAAGCTCACCGTTCTGATTGTTATTCAGTGGGTTGTATTGGTTTCTAGTTTTCAAACGTGGTTGTTATTATCATTATTTAGTGGGATTGGATCTGTATTGTATTGTCTTCATGTTTTGTTTAACCGTTGAATTGTGAACCATTCATCCGTTGGACTGTGAACCATTCATTTGTAAATATGAATCCTGCAGTGACATCTAGCGCAGCAGTGTGGGAAATTGATTATGAGATTTGCCTGATCTTATAAATGTAACATCTGTCAATCTGGATCGATGCGTGTTGACATTGCGGCGGCAGTTGCGGCAGTTGCGGATGTTCTGATCTCGGGCCTGGCATTCCTGGGACTTTCTGCTCTTATCTGATAATCAATATAGCCGACTGTAGATTGAAGACAAGTCTGAAACATCAAACGAATCAATGTTCTATTACCCATTAACCAACAATAATTCAATTTTGAAGCAACCAGGACCATCAAACGTTTGTCAGACATACATGATGAAAACCCTTTACCTCATCAGGCATCTGGTTTATTTTCTTTTTTTTGCTTTTGTTGCAGCATATAATGATTACTGAAAGATTCAAAGCGAATGGCATCGGAATTGAACCAAACATACAGAGCCGTTTTGTTTTCAAGCTTGATGATGCTGTTGTCTTTAGCCTGTTCCGGTCTTCAGTCTTTCATGTCGGTGACGTCTTTTTTTTCATGCAGTTGATATCAGCAAACCTGGGCTTTAATGAAAAAGTCATGCTGAAATCACTCGTGACGAAACAACTATCTACTACTCGACACAACCATGTGCAATACTTTCCAATTTGTTGTACAGTGCCAGTGCCAATTTGGTGCAACACGCATGTGGCTTAGGGGGTTAGACCCGAGGCCATTGAAGATTGTGTCCTAAGTCCTGTGCTAAGTAGGTAAACATTGAGTTATCATTCGGATGATGATGATGATTGATGATGATGATGATAATGATGATGATGCTGAAGATTCTAAAGATGTAATTTCGACAACGCACTAGCTCAATGACATTTGGTTGAGCATTATTACTGAACATTGGACACCCAATCTTCAAAATTGAAATTTGTAATTACCTGAGGGTTGGGGATCGAATCATACTGAAATTTGAAACCTGTATGCATCCTTGTACAGTTGGCTTCGTCAAAGAAAGATGTGACAGGAGCGACATTCTTGAACAGCAGGTTGACAAAATAGATTTGGACTTGATTGGACTTGGCCGCTTGAATCGACACGTAGAGATCGCAGACATATAAAGCCAAATGAACACAGCAGAATGTTTTGCAGAAGGTCTGTCAAGTTGTCAAGATCTGCGTGACATTGGTACTAATCAATTTTTGGACCTCGGTTTCCAAGGCCTAGGACTTTTGGACTGTGTTTGCATCGGTTTTTCCAAGTTTGCTTGGCTATAGGTTTTCTGATTTCACAAGAAACTCGATTTTCTGATACCTTCAAATCTTGAAAACGACTTGGAGAAATATATATATATATATTCTTTTGGTTTTTGACCTTTTTAAACAACAAGAGTACTTCTTGACATACCACTTCCTGACAAAGATTGTGTTATAGTATCTTTGCTTTTGCTTTCACAATTATATCATTTGTTACGAATTATTTCTTGACATGCTTCATGTCATGACCCGCTTCCTGACACATGTCATGAGCTCATTCCTGACACACATATGTCACATGTCATGAGTTCCTCTCTGACGTACGATGTCATGAGTTTGATCCTGACATACGTCATGTTATGAATCGTTTCCTGATACATGTCATGAATTCCTTCCTGACATATATTGTGTCATGATCTGCTTCTTGACATTTGTCATGAGTCCCTTCCTGACACACACGTGCGAATCATGTCATGACCTGCTTCTTGACGTATGTCAAGAGTTACCTCTTGACATTGATACCTCATGTCATGACCGACTTCTTGACATGTGTCATGAGTTCCTTCTTGACATAGATCCATATGTCATAATTTGCTTCTTGGTACATGTTGTGGGTTTCCTCCTGTCACATACCATGTCAGAATCTATCACACGACATATGTGAAGAGATGCGTCTTGACATTGAACCTGTTTGTCATGATTTGCTTCTTGACATGTGTCATGAGTTACTTCTTGACATATAGGCATATGTCAAGAACTGCTTCTTGACGCATGTCATGAGTTTGTTCCTGACATACGTTATGTTGTGAATCGCTTCCTGGCATGTATCATTAAGTCATTCTTAACATACATGGTGTCATGAACTCCTTCTTGACATATATTGCGTCATGATCTGCTTCTTGACATTTGTCATGAGTCCCTTCCTGACACACATGCGCGCATCATGTCATGACCTGCTTCCTGACGTATGTCAAGAGTTACCTCTTGACATTGATACCTCATGTCATGACCGACTTCTTGACATGTGTCATGAGTTCCTTCCTGACATAGATCCATATGTCATGATTCGCTTCTTGACACATGTTGTGGGTTTCTTCCTGTCACATACCATGTCAGAATCTATCACACGACATATGTGAAGAGATGCGTCTTGACATTGAACCTGTTTGTCATGATTTGCTTCTTGACATGTGTCATGAGTTACTTCTTGACATATAGGCATATGTCAAGAACTGCTTCTTGACGCATGTCATGAGTTTGTTCCTGACATACGTTATGTTGTGAATCGCTTCCTGGCATGTATCACTAGGTCCTTCTTAACATACATGGTGTCATGAAGTTCTTCTTGACATATATTGCGTCATGTTCTGCTTCTTGACATATGTCATGAGTCCCTTCCTGACACACACACACATCATGTCATGATCTGCTTCCTGACGTATGTCAAGAGTTACCTCTTGACATTGGTACCTCATGTCATGACCGACTTCTTGACATGTGTCATGAGTTCCTTCCTGACATAGATCCATATGTCATGATTCGCTTCTTGACACATGTTGTGGGTTTCCTACTGTCACATACCACGTCAGAATCTATCACACGACATATGTGAAGAGATGCTTCTTGACATTAAACATGTTTTGTCATGATTTGCTTCTTGGCGTGTGTCATGAGTTACTTCTCGGCATAAATGCATATGTCAAGAACTGCTTCTTGACACATGTCATGAGTTTGTTCCTGACTTACGTAATGTTATTAATCGCTTCCTGATACATGTCATGAATTCCTTCTTGATATATATTGTGTCATGATCTGCTTCTTGACATTTGTCATGAATCCCTTCCTAACACACACGCGCGCATCATGTCATGACCTGCTTCCTGACGTATGTCAAGAGTTACCTCTTGACATTGATACCTCATGTCATGACCGACTTCTTGACATGTGTCATGAGTTCCTTCTTGACATAGATCCATATGTCATGATTTGCTTCTTGGTGCATGTTGTGGGTTTCCTCCTGTCACATACCATGTCAGAATCTATCACATAACATATGTGAAGAGATGCTTCTTGACATTAAACATGTTTGTCATGATTTGCTTCTTGACATGTGTCATGAGTTACTTCTTGACATATAGGCATATGTCAAGAACTGCTTCTTGACGCATGTCATGAGTTTGTTCCTGACATACGTCATGTTATGATTTGCTTCGTGACACATGTCATGAACTCCGTCTTGACATACAGTGTGTCATGATCTGCTTCTTGACATGTGTCATGAGTCACTTCCTGACACACATGCGCGCATCATGTCATGACCTGCTTCCTGACGTATGTCAAGAGTTACCTCTTGACATTGATACCTCATGTCATGACCGACTTCTTGACATGTGTGGCGTATGTTTTCTCTGCATGTCATGATCGTTGTTGGAGTATGTTTGTCTCTGCATGTCATGATCGCTTCTTGACGTGCGTGTTTTATTGTGTTCTATTTGTTTTGAAATATTGCTTCGTGAAACAACCTTTTTTTTCTGATATTTGCAAAATACATAACCATAATTTGGATTATATTATGTTTGATGTGTCTGGATGATTGAAGCTTATTTTGCTTATGTGCATGTTATGTGATCCATAGCCTTTTTTGGTACTAAGAGTGATTGCTGGTCACCGTGAGCCTTGGTGGCAATGGCTACTACCACGGATATATACGAACCTCGTGCATCTGTGAAAGAAAGATTCCCAGATAAGGAGGACGGCTTAGAGCTCGTTGAAGCAATCTTCGACTTGTATAGCATTAGTCGTTCGGGAGAGCTCCAGTTCTACGATTCGTCAATGCGAAACAAGTTGGTGATTCCACATGAGTTGAATAGCCGAGATCAGCATCAGGTTCTTTGGAAATATGCTACCAAGCTCCAATAGATCATATGTATGCAATCAGTCTCACTGACTCTCACCTCACTGTAATTCTGTTATGTTATATCTTTGCTGTTGCTGTATGATGCGTGTTTTCAAAACGAGAATCCGATATTAGTCCGGGATGACCCACATGTGGATAGGGCGGGAAAACGACATGCATCACTTAGCATCATTCCGATTCCATTTGGAGCGCTTATCCAAGGTTTCTTCTGTCAAGAAGTATGGTGTGATTCAAGGAGTCAGGGGCGAACCCTGGTGCGTGCTGTCTGATGGCAACAAGCCACCTGGTGGAAAGTTCAAATATGTTCAAGTACAAATTGAACATTGGCAATTTATGTAGCTATGGTACTATGTTTTTGGAGAATTAGGATCCAAAAGTCGGAAATCACACAAACTTTACAACATACATGTATGATGGTCAATGGTTGTGGGTTGTGGGAGGGAGTCATTGTTGACCCTTGTCAGTTGGACATCGACTTTGATTTTTCAATTTCTACCAATTTAACGTGAGATGGGTTTCTACGTTTCTTTTTCCTATGGTCCTATGGTGAACCATGTGTCGGAAACATTTGATTCTGATAACCATCCTATCAACAATACCTGGCCTCCTGTGGAACTCTATTCGGCAAAACATACACAAATATGGGTTTGTTGACATTGACGCGACTGGCCATGATAATGATAAGGTTACGGGTACATGATAGAAAATTAGCACAGTAGTCAAAGGGTCAAGGAGCCAAAGAGATGGTGTAGGAGTTGCAGGCAGGTTTTTTGTCTAAGGTCTTTTTGCTTGACCACTGCTTGACTGCCTCATTGATGAGTTGTTGAGCCGTCAATGCATCACCAAGGCCGCCTTGGAGGATGTTGAGCTGGGGAACGCTTTCACGTGCCGTCTACGCCGCGTACGAGGAAGATGAAACGAACCCTAAAGTTCTCAAAAGCATCACCACCGGTTTGCGGAACGTATTTTGGATAGTTTGGTGGATGGACAAACAGATACCTAGAACAGACGGTCTACATTCTACATCAACATCGGTATTCTAACACAGCATGTGCTATTGCGGGTTATATGGAAACAATTGGGTTGTAAGACATTTCAAATTTGTTTTGATATTTGTTACAGGTACGTTTGGAATCTTCAGAGCTGTTTTGAATCTGTATTGTATTGCAATTGTTTTGCGTGAGTCTATGGGGTCTCTGAGTCTATGTCTCACTAATCGAACATTGGCAACTGAAGACTGAAGATGAAGAAGGTATGAACATTATGAACCTAGCATTGTGTTTTTCATTTTCTGGATGTCAAAATCAAAAGAACCGTTCACAACTAGTTCACAACTGGAACATTCTGCATTCATGATCTGTAGATCCTCAGATCCAATGATGACTCATGGACTTGCATGGATGCTTTGATGATGATGATGACGATGATGATGATGGTGATGATGATGATGATGGTGATGATGATGATGGTGATGATGATGATGATGGTGTGACCTAATTCCGATGATGATTCGATGATTCGATGATGACAAAGGTGATGTTGCTGGCAGCTGTTGGGGGATAATTAATCGTGACCGGCACTGGTTCGATATGGACTATGGACTGTGGACCTTAAATTCCATGAGGCAATCAAAGCATTGTAAAATTTTCAGTTGCAAACAAAAACAACGCACCATCATCAACACGCGTGGATTCTTTATTATTCAAGTGGGAATGTATGGGGAATGGACAATGCATGTATGGAAGCATGCTTTATATCAGCTATGGTCCGGCTACGGTGGCTAGGGTCATCATCGAGCCATGAATCCATCACCAGTATGGCATTGTTGTCATGTCAACAATATCATATCCGGTTAAAACATGTAATCCTGTTTTTGATGATCATAATGATCATATCAAACTGATACATGGCCTGTAGCGAGCCACTAGTTACTAGGCACTAGGCAAATATATTTATTTCAAATAAGCAGTAGCCAAGGCAATTGTGCTCCATTGCCGGACGCCTACGGATTGCCTGGTCTACTTGCGTGATTTTCATAATCGCTGGCATGGTGGATCGTCGATGACTTTCACGGACACGATTGCCGAGACGATCAATCTTGACAAAGCCTGGTTGGGTTACGCGCTGCTTGGTGTGATGGTATGGGCTAGGATCGATATCTGGGTCTAAGTCAGAAGGTGTAAGTAGGTTGAGTAAGTAAGCCTCAGTTCATTTGGACTCCATTCATTGACATGGATCATTGGTCATTTGGGCCAATGGATTCATTGGCCATTGGACTCATTATGCCGGTGTGTAACTATTCGACAACTCAACACCGGAGACTTGAGAGATTGAGATGGAGACTGACTGAGGGGTCACCACCACCATGACCATGAGACCACCATTGACTTTCAGTCGTAACGGTTACAACCACCAAGGAAGTCAAAAGGCTGGCAAGTCAGAACTTGCGGCGCAGGGCAGAATTCATGGGCCGCCCGTCAGTGGGCATTTATCAGCTCCCAGAGTCCGGAGAAGTACTCAAGTGCAAATGTGTTTCTCCATGCCAAAGCATTGGCCACTTGGTTGTCAAAATCCGGCCTCATGCAGGATCTCCGAAGCTACTGCGGAAGTTGTGTCTTCTTTGACGAACCTAGGTTGTCGAACAGTAATGTCATCCACTTGTTGCACTCGTGGGGCCTGATTCTGCAACAATACAGACAAATTGACAACTCTTCCAAAAGGCTTTTGTTCCTGGAGGGCTTGGCATTCATGATGCCGTGCACCGCTATGGAGCCGCATCCCGACATGACATGTTCCGGCCGAGAAGCATCTTGGCTGAACTTGGTTAAATGTGACTTGCTGTCTGCCGGGTTTACAAAATAGGCTGAAGAGTTGTAGAGAAAAGTCCTTACTATTGGTCCCTATTCCTCCTTAGGGCCGATTGTCAATGGTGGTCAGTGCTGGTCACGCAGCGAAGTCTATGTGCAGTGCCGTTGGTGCTTGGTGTCTAGTAGAGTCTAGTAAGTCTGAGTTAATGATGATAATAGTAAAGTAGTAATGCGTAATAATTGTAGCATCAAAAGTCAGAAGTATCACACTTGAAACCTGGTCACCAGAAAAGATAGATCAGGAAACAGAGAAAGGCAGCCGGTTGATATGTTGCATAACAGTCATATGTCATCAGCTAGTTGTTAGTCAAAGTCCTTTATGACAATCTATGCTGTGACCATGCAACCCGGTACATGGTCTCATGGTCTCATGGTCTGTCTCAATCTGTCTTATGGTTTTTGATTCTAAGACTTTAAAGATTATGATTTTATTCTGACTATGGTTAATGATTACTTATGGTTCTTGCTTTTCTGACTAGCACCGGAAGACACATGGACCCACGGACCGACAGTAGTATGAACGGTATAGTTGTTGATTCAAATATTACATCGTTTTTCATCATAGCTGGCTAGCTGTATATGTATATGTCAGCCAGCAGACTGGACCAACAATAAGGAGTGAGGTGAAGTAGGGGGGACCCGGGGACCCAAGGATTGGGTCGGACTCGACTGGGGGGCCAGTTCTTCTGACATCTTCCTCATCCTCCTTTGTTCACTGGCCGCCCCTGGCCATATGATTATGAAATTATGATCATTGCCAATTGCCAACCCACAAGTTCTTTTCATTCATCGGTTTTCGACTCGACGGTTGTTTCACATGTGTTCAAGCTGGCAATCTGGTTTCAAGTCTTTCTTATCACCACGTTATTGTCAGACTTGTTCCGAATGCTTCGTAACTACAAACCACATTTGAACCTTTAATTCTTGAATGTTAAATATAGTTATAGTTCTTGCATTTTGCATCGAAGTATATGTATTTTGTTTTTCTTTATGTATGAACTATCAGAGAACCCCAAAGAAGTGAAGAGATAACGAAATATCACAATCAAAACATAATAGTGCCACTGCCACTTCTTTTGCTACCTTACATTTGTTCTCCCCATATTTTATCGTTCATGCTTACTTAGACATACCTATGACCGTCATGACAGTCATGAGTCATGACCCCACAAGCCGACCACAAGCCTTCCCCCACAGACAACATGTGTTTGATGCTCTGCGCTCAGGTGCCTTGGTTGTTCGAGACCGTCGACATGGATCTCATGAAGCTTGTTCACACCCCTATGGCCACTTCGCAGATCTACACGAGGGCGGCCAATGGCGGGAATGGAAAAGGGAATGGGAAAAACAAACGAAAAGCTACTGAGTCAGATTCCCCCAATGGTGATGAAGAAGGCGGAGGTGAAGGTGGTAGCCGTAGCAACAAAAAGGGCAAAGGAAAGGGTGTTGCGAAGTCCACCAAAAGAAAAGGCAGTCAGAAAGGAGGGAGCGGGACTGGACATGAAGAAAAGTCTGAAAGAACAGCTGCGTGGCAAAGCATCTTGGGTTCAACAACAAACCCCATCACTTCTCAGAATGAATCAGAGAGCAATGCTGAGATGCCTGTTCTTGAAGCAACAGAAGACTCTGACATGAATGCAAGTGATGCTGTGAACCCTGATGCCGCTTTTGCAGCCAAAGTGTTTGCTGGGCCTGAAGATGGCGCTGCACGTCAAGTGCTTTGGCTTGATGACATGGTGTCTTCATGTCTCCGGGTGGTTGATTTCGAATTTGGAAAGGATGAGTGTGGAGTCCATCGTCTTCCAAAAGGTTTGTCTGAGGCCATGGTGTCCCGAGTCATCTCCTTCTTTTTCTCATCGTCACTCGAGTTTGCATGGAAGAAGTCATTGACTCTTTCAGGCAAAACGTTGAAGCAGTGGACACAGGTACGTCCTGCATTGCAGGAATTGATTCGCAATGCCTTCATTGAAATGAAGACAGGCACAGCCACTACCGCTTCCGGTGAGGGAAGTGGTTCTTCATTGTCAGCAGCAGCGATGGTTTTGGGTACCAACACAAATCAAGCAATTGTTTCCAAACTTTTGACCCTCGGACTCAACCATTTGGAGTTTGTTACCAGTCGCCTGTCAGCCGAATGCAGCAAAATAACCAGCAGTCATTTGTCATGATTGCCAGCCATGACATCATCATATGATCAGTGGCGATCACCATGTCATGTGCCACTGTGAGTCACTGTGTTTTCTTTAGACAGACCAGACAGCCAAGAAAAAATCAGTAGTTCACATCAAACAGTCAACCTATGTATGATTGTATGATCAAGATCCAGGTGATGATTCCGCTGATGATGATGATGATGACGATGATGATGGTGATGATGATGGTTCATGATGATTATATTATGGATTTGTCTACAGATGGCACTGACTCAGCAAGTGTCCAAACTTTAAACTTTTTTTTGGTTGGGTTCGCGCTCCCGGGGGGGGCTCTATTTTATACTCGAAAAGCGTGCGCGAACCCAACCCAGAAAAAAGTTCAAAGTTGTTTCCGCAAGGACAGAAACTGAGTAAGTGCTGATGATGATGGCGACGGTGGTGATGGGTGTTTGTGACTTTGATTTCGCATCACATACTTACTTTATGACAATTGATCTGTGCTCTTTGGATCAGAGTCTGAGTCTTTGAGTCTATATATATATATATGTATGTATGTATGTATGTATGTATGTATGTATTGGTTTGTACAGCCTGTGAAGTAGACCAAGGACCAACGACTAATGACTATAGAGACTGTAGATCGTATTTGACAAGCTGTGCAAGTCAACAAGTGGCAAGTAGCATTATGTCCTTGAGCCATGCAACGCTTGGCCTGACTGAGGAACGCTTGCAAGCAAGATGAAAGCGAGGTGGCACCGGAAGTGAAGGAATGTCCGGCCCCAGAGGACTGTCATCAGTGGGTCCGGGCTGGGCTATCGGGCAAGTCAACGGTTTAGGGTGCAAGGTTGATGTCGTCACCATCACTCAATGCAACTTCAAGGATTCAAGAATTCAACAATTGGACTCAACAACCTGGCAGCCTGACAGCCCAAAACTTTGACATCCGACTTGAAGGGCCAACTTGTAGGGTAAAGGTAGTTCGACTCGACTGGTCACCGGCCAATGGCTACTTCTAGCTACCCAAGTTCAAACTAATACGAATGACTGAATGCCTGAATGCTATTTTCTGACTTCTTGATGAGAAATAACAACAACAAGAAGTCAAAGAGGAGTCAAGAGACTCTTGAGTCAAGAGAGCCAGAGAGCCGCATGAATGCAGCCTGATTCCAGGCAATCAAAAAAGCTATGCACTTCCGCAGTCAGATTTGGCTCTGGTTTGGGCGACTGATCGCTGCAGTGTCCGTGCTGCTTCTGCAATCTGGGGTTCGTTAGACAATAGGAACTAATTTCTACTTTGTTTCTGTGATCACCGATCCACAGATATGGCCAAAGCAGTGAAGAGGACCAAGGTGGCCAAACCGGCCAAGATCCCTGAGAGTCCCAAAAGTCCGAAGCAAGGTAAGGCGCGGACTACGCAGACCAAGACCAAGACGACCATGGTCAAAAAAGCTGCAGCAAAGACAGAGTCTTGCCAATAGGATACAGGGCACGTTGTGTGGTGACCACTTCATATATCTCAACCGAACCATTATCATCAGTATTGATCAGATACAGAAGATACATACATACATACATACATACATACATACATAGATACATACATACATACATACATACATACATACATACATACATACATACATACATACAGACACACACACACATACATACATACATACATACATACATACATACATACATACATACATACATACATACATACATACATACATACATACATACATACATACATACATACACACATACATTCATACATTATATCGCATTACATTACAGCTACAGAAGGCATCCATGCTCCACAAAGGAAGAGTGCCAAAAACGACCCCATCATTCAGACATATGTCTCATACAGCCATACACACACACACAGTCCAACACACACACACACGCAATATGATAGTAAGGATCTATGGTTCATTGCATCTGTGTCCAAGGAGCCGCAGAAGACGAAGCCGACAAGCAAGTCTACCGGATCCACGGCCACGTCACCTACTACATGCACGAAACTTGAGGTGCCGGGGTCTTCCTCTTCTTCGTCCTCATCTAAGGCTTTTCAGGAAGCCTATCAGAAGTTGATGTCGTCTACTAAATTTAAAGACAACCCCAAGGAGACCGGGAAACGGGAAACAATGAACCCTAATCGTTTTCGAAACTGAAACTGAATTATTGGTTGGTTAGCTGGTTGAGGTATCAGTCCTTATCATTATCAGTTATCTTTGGATCGCTATGGTAACAAGAAAAATCCAGAACTAGCCAACTAAGCAATCAGCTATCATTTGTTTATTGAAATGAAATCATACGGATGTAACGGATGTAGTCCGGATGTAGACATTACAAGTAGTTTGTCAATAAATTGTTAAACGGCGCATTACACCACCAAGTTTGCACCATGTTCATCTTAATGCCGCAATGGCCCTGTTGCAATCCTCAGGCCGCAGGATATCCGCGGGATAGTCCATATGACCACATGATGACCCCCGAGAGAGTCCAGTGTACCATACCATCCGTACCATGCACTTATTTATATTTAGACTATTAGACTATGGGTTTTCCCCACCTCCCAAAAAGGTGTTAATGTTTTAGGTTTTCCATTGGGTCTGCGCACGCGCGCCTTGCCGAGCTTATTTTTGGGGTACTTTCAAGTGTAGCCGCTGGCAGCGACTAGCTCAATGCGTAATTGTGAAAAGTACCATACGTCATGCGCCCATGCGCGAACTACGACGTTGTGTATACTGTCTACTGTCCGACTGTCGGTATATTGTTGTATTATTACTACACAGTGTACTGCATCCTGTCTGTAGAGAGTGTATCCATATTACTGTGAAAAAAACAGTGTACGCATTTTGCTCTTCCAAACGCTTCCAGGACCAGTCCAAGGAGTCCATGCAGAGTGTGCAGAAGCCCAAGCGTGGGATTAAAGTCGATACCGACAGCGACATTGTGAAGTCCAGTGCCACAGCAAGAATCAAGATGTCCAAGACCAAGGCTCAGATTGCGACAGCGACCACGAGTGACATTGTGAGCGCAGGTGGCGCAGGTGATCCAATGTCTCTCCCAGCAATGTTTCAGAGGATCTTGAAGACACAGAAGGAACAACCTAGGACACCACCTGTGGGTACTACGTATGGTTTCACTTCTGCGTCAGAGTGGGGATCACCTTCCGGACCATCACCTCAACCACCCCCCATGTTGAGCAAGCATGATGCATCTTCGGCCGTAGCTGGGCTTGCGCTTCCTGAGCCCAATCTTGAACCTGAGCCCAAAGTCCTTTACATGGAGCCAACGAAGGCAACATTCAGTGGATGGGACAGGTTCAAGGTGCCGTTTGACAAGCCGGTGCTGTCGAGTGATGGAAAGGGTAGCAGTTCAAGTGCCCAGATGCCAGAGAAGCAAACTGACATCAAGTCCTACTTCACCGACTCTGACTCCAACCCCAAATCTCAGACAGAGCGTCCCGGAGTAGGAGCAGCTGATGCCATGGCTGTGGATCCTGTGGGTGAAGCAGTGGGAGAAGCTCTTTCACCTCCACCATTACCCAGCCAGTCTGCCAGCCAGTCCAGTCCTGCTTCGCATCATCCGGGCAATGGCGGCTGCACTAGTGCTGAAGGTGATCAGACTGGCCAGGGCGGTGCCGGTGGCGGCAACAAAGTTGCTTCAGCCCCAGCTCCATCCGCACCCGCGTCCAACCCCAAGCTCTACTTGGACCCTCTGGCAGCAGGCAGCCCATTTCCACGAATGCCTCCTCAGCGCAAAGTGAAGTCTGTTGAAGATGCATTCAATTGGCCGCGGCATTTCTTTGAGAGGTTGTCCAAGGCCTGGGGTGGAAGTTGAATGTTTTCTGAAGTTCTGCGTTTTTATCTTTACAAGATTTCAAGACGCAGAGATACACACACACACAGGCACACACACACACAATAAACGCAAAATCTTCAGACACGAAAACAGACCAAACCACTATTCAACCAACCCCATATAGCAGCCCGCTGAAGGGGACCACTGATGAACAATTCAAGATTCAGAGGTCGACTATTTTAAGCAGGGGCGACATGAAGTACATCTGGGCAAAGTTTGCAGTTCGATAGTTAAAACTGGCCCACACGTCCACACCACCATTGCACCACTTGTCTGGTGTAGCTGTTTTTGATTGTTTACAATGGGTTCCAATTTCCAATTTGATTTCAATGTATTGTTTTCAATTGTTTTCCAATCTTTTCAGTGTCGTTATTCATTGATGACTGATGCGATATCATGATGTGAGTTTGATGTCAGCTGTCATGACTTTTTATTTCGGTTTAGGGCTCTGGGCTGTAGGGCTGTAGATCACGGTGGGGATTGTTGGGCAAAACTGTCACTAACACCGACACATGCATTTGATGCATGCCGGTTAGAGATGAACAGACGACATACTAGTATACTTGAGAAAAACCATATATGATATGATTTGTAATTAATTTGTAATTGTATATTAATATTGTTCTACACAGATTCTACGCGCACACATGTATAGTAAATATATAGATATAAATTTAATATTCATTACATTTGGTGCGTAGAATATTATTTAACAAAAGTTTGCGTACGAGGCCAAGAGTGCTGGGAGCTAGCACCACAGCATTAGCATACACCCTGGCAGGCAGTACCCTTTCCTGAGCAAGTTCTCGGTTTCCTTCGGCAGCATTTCGCCCATCACATGACGTATTCTTCGATCTTCAGCGGCGTTGATGCGCCCGGCACGTCGCTGCACATCATTGCAGAGGCTTTGAAGATGTACGGCGATGATGGGGCTGGTACTTGTGGAGGTGGCGATGACGAGGGTGCGGGTGCGGGTGCTCCTACTGGGCCAAAGCATCTTTGGGCTGTGGAATGGCTGCCTGCATCGCAGGCAGAGCTGTTAGCAATGCCACACGCACCACGGTGCCTATTCTCAGACGTGTCGTGCCTTTGGAAGCCAGCAACTTGGAGTTTAACTCAGTGGGGTCTTTAGATTCTAGGTTTCAACAAAGGTTCAGCTCGTTCTTTCTTTCTCCTTCTGCCTTCTGCTCTTTCTCCTCGTCCTTCTCCTCCTTCTTCTCTTCTTCCTTCTCCTCGTCTCCTCCTCCTGTGTTAGTTCGCTTGACTTTGGGCACCAATGGACCCGAGCCATATCCCAAGCTCTGCTGGACATCAAGCTCTGGATGCAGTGGAGCGCGCCTGAATCCGAATTCTATCGGAAGCTCCGGACGCATTGCGGAGAGAATGTCCGAATGACGAATGCCAGAATGCGTGCCAGATAGAATGCAGGAATGAATGCCAGAGCGCATGCCAGATAGAACGCGCGAATGCCAGAATAGATCCCATGCCAAATAGCATGCACTGCCATCAGGCTGCAATCAAATATGCCCAAAAAAAATCAGAAAGAATATAATGTCATATAAAATGCCAGAAAGAATGTCACTGTCAGAGTATATGATATGCCAGTAAGAGCGTCAGATAATCCGAGTCAGATAGAATGTTAGAATACATGTTGCTGCAATAGGTATACATTTTTACCGGTATGTCAGAAACTATTCCATAATAGTGTGTTTGGGTGGGGATCGCTCGAAGTAAGACCTCGAAGTCAGGTAACTGTTCTTGTATCGCAAGTCTGTGGGGCACGCTTTGATTTGGTTGGATGGTTTACCGACTGATGTTGACTGAATTGACCCAGGCAGTTCGCTCCACCATAGATTCCCTTCAGAAGGATGGCATCACGCTTACAAAAGACCTTCTTTTCCCACTCATTCGCAGTGATGGTGCATGCGCCGAACGCGCCTGGTGTTCAGTTCATGAGCAACAGTGCCCACTTCCCCAGGCGGATTGCTGCCTCTTTGGATTTCCGTGCGTATCGTGGTCCCCTCAAGGACCTCGGTCGCGCGATAGCGGCCGCGACTTCCCGCACTGGAGTGCGGCTGTCGCGCACCGAAGGAAAACGCAGGAGAGCTTGATGTCAAAATCAAATGAATCACTCTTGTCGGCTTTTCCTGCAACTAGTTGATGTTGATGTATGTCATTAAGTCATTGTCATTATGTCACCTCAAGTTGGAACCGGCTGGGACCGGAACGTTATTTTGGGTTGCAGTTGCAACTGCTTGCGCCTACCCCCTCAGGAGAAGATGCTGTGCTATGAATGCAGCCATATGTATGATCCACAAATGATGGAGTCAGTGCTTGGTGACTTGTACCTTCACTTCCATCGTATCCTGGACCCATTGACTCAGGGCCAGCCAGTTGCACGCAAACGCCTCTGAGGAATCATGCTGAAAAAGTCATCGCTCGCAGAGTGGAGCTTCGGCATGAGCCTCAAGGGTGGCTGGCCTCACAGCCGTATGGACATTATGCTTTCAAGGCTTCTCTCACTTTTCAACCGAAAGTGCGAAGTTCCCTTTCATGCCTTCCTGCTAGCAACTGAAGATGAGATCATGTGGGATTGCGAGTGGATGAGGAGTCGACCAACCTCAGCGGCCAAGAATAGGCCTCAGACCACAGCAGAAATCTTTGCGCATGAGGGCGGTGTGGCTTTCCTCTCTGAGTATGAGAAGGCCAACCTCAAGAATTACCAAAAAGTGCTTGTTAAGAAGTTTGGCAAAGCCTTTGCTCCAAGGGCCGCTTGTCAGCTGAACCAAAGTGCTGATGATTGGCCCATGCATTCAAAAGTCAGTGGCTCCATGGAGTATCTCCATACCATGATCAAAAATGTCGGAGTTCTCTTCTGCAAAGACCGCGGAATTACGGTGAATGAAATGGCTATGTATCCTGGTTGCAGATCTGGTCTGGCCGGGGGAACCCAATCGAGAAGTTGCCTGGGAGGGGTCAATGGGATACTGGATACCATACCATATTATATACCAAGTACGTATGTAGTATGCTACCATCCCGGGACCATCCCGCTATCCCAGTTACTACTTGGGCCTTGGGGGTGCATCCCACTTAGTAAACGGTTTTTACTTCAGTTATACATGGAGCATCCTGGTTGAATAACCCCACTATATATGGGAATTTATTGATTGGTTATGTTATGAATGGTAAATGGATGAATGAATGAAACACTTCTTACTTAGTGGGGTGCACATCCAAGTATCCCATGCCCATGCCCCATGACATTATGTGTTACGACGCGACAGTTCTGACAGAGTTGACAGAGGGTACGTTGTTACGTTGTTTGTTATGTTACTCTGTTACTTTGTAGTTTTGGTATGTTCTTTCATGTTTCTTATGTGTGTAGTTAGTTAAACTCATTTTTGATTAGTCTACGAGTCTACAGTCGACTGTCTATTGTTTATCGGTGACTGTGTGTACTGTGTTTCACCGGATTGAAACAAACAAAACTCATTACCTGAATCTCTTTCCTAACTTCTCTGCGGTATCTGTTTTGAATCATGAATCATGAGCTATATGTTATGTGACTGTAATGTGTCATGTGTTGTGAATGCGCCTTCCGTGGTCCCTGCCATGACACTCAGGCTTCAGGGCATCCCCATGTACAAGCATCTTGCGGTTCCCGGTAAGAACTTGAGAGTGCACAGCTTTGCCAAGCCCTTGGACGACGAGGCAGAAGATGTCAAGCGCCGATGGGAGGACTGGGCTGACGGACACACATCAGGACACTGGACACTGATGACTGATGACACTGATTGGTGGTTCTTGTTTTAGCCCAGATGCGGCATGGAGTTTGCATGCATGATGACATCAAATCATCACAGAATATTGCCAGCATCATCATCACCATCATCATCAGCCCCATCATCATCATCATCATCATGATCATGCTCAGCACCATCTTCATCATCATCATCATCATCATCATCGATCACCATCACCACCACCATCATCATTATTACCATGATCGTCATCGACACATCATCACCATGTCAGAAAGTCATAATTTTAACTTCGATCCTTTCTGAGCTTCGAGTTGCCACAGTTGCCGGTTGCAACATGTAAATTTCACGTGTCTGCTTATCGTGATGTTTTTTGATGATGGTGATGATGATGAGGATGATGATGGCGATGATGATGATGATGATGGTGATGATGATGATGATGATGATGACAATGATGCAAGTCAATCATGCGATGATGCAATGAATGAATGATGTAATGATTGTGATGTAATGTTTTGTATTGTGTTGTAATGAAATGTAACGTAATGTAGTGTAATGTAATGTAATGTAATGTAGTGATGCGGATGGCAATTGAGCATCGGATGGATTTCACGGGCCCCTACCCAGGCTCCACCCACCACCAGGTCACCCAAGTCACCATAGTCACCATGGACCATACACCCTAGACCGCCCACCCTAGCCACCATTTTACCTAGTTGCCAATCCCTTACCTTTATCACTAGCCTAATTGCCTTATCACACATGATCTGCTGCCCGCCAAAACAGGAGCTTCAGCAGCGGAGATCTCGATCTGCTATGGCTGGACAGGTCGGCAACAGCATGCACGTAGGGACATGCGGTAGTGTCCTGTGACTTGGCATTGGTTTAGCTTGGCATGGGAGTTTACACTTGGCATGAGTGGGAGTTGAGTGGCCTAGTGGCCCACTGACTGGACACCGGACACAAGAAAATATTTTTACATGTTGTTCTTACATCTTGTTGTCATGTTGTTGGTACTTCAGTACTTTTAAACTCTAGTATTTTCAATTTGTTTCGATAGTTTCGAAACTACAAGCTTAGACTCAGACTTTGCTATGGTAGTCACGCCGGGGAGTCCCACAAAAATCGTTTCTAGTCTCTTGCAGATTGCATTTGGTCCCAATGGCATCCAACTGATCCCATTGCTATTTGGTATTGTAGTTAGTATTTGTTTACCATTAACGGTTTGACATCGACATCAGGGGCTATCAACGAAATAAACAGCCAGTAGGCCCTGTAGGCGGCCAATATGCCAATAGCTAGCTAACACCCACAAATCGTTTCAAGGCTCATTCAAAAAACTTAGGCACCATCCCAGTCCAACTTAGTCCAACTTGCTCAGCTCAATCATCAACAACCGAGGCTTAGTGCGATGGTCATGGTGTGGATGATGCCAGGGTTCTGGGCTGAATGAAGAGCTTTGCCCGGCAAAGGATTGGCGTGGCCAAATCAGCCAGTTGGATCGGTTGGTTGGATCCGGTTTAATTTGCCCGGTTTGCACGTTTTTGTTAAAGTTGATTTCGTTCAAGCATCCGTTGCAGTTTTGCAAGGCTCCCGGGGATGGTGAATGGTGATCGCTAATTCGAACTGGGGTCAAGCTTCTTACAGGTCTTCAGTCTTCAGCATTCACGCGCTCAGGCTGCTCCAAGGTTTCAAGTAAATCAAATAAATTCTTCTTGTCAGTGGTCGCTGTTGTCACAAGTTGTCGCTCCCAAAGTGTCATGGCCCATCATAGCCTTTTCGATAAAAGCTTCCGGATCGTAAGAAAATGGGAACCATTGGCAACCATAGAAAAAATAGATAATGATATTTAGTGACCGACAAGAATCAAATTGCTTTTGATCCAGTCCATAGATAATACAAAGCTTCAAAACTTCATACCTCAGAAGCCTCATAGCTTATAGTCTCACAATTGTCTCATAGTAGCTTTCGTTTTCTATAGTTGTTGGTTTCTATCTATATTCTCAACTCTCCATCTTCTTTACCCCGGACCTTACCGGCCACTCATTGTTATGAGATTTTTCATCAACCCACTGAAGCCAAAATGAAGTCAACATAAACTGGCATTAAACATCATGTGTGGGGCTCCATACACTGTTGAGAAATTCACACTGGGTTTCAAAGGTGGGGAGCCAGTTTCATTTTTTCAAGTGTGCGATTGTTAACTGATGTTTTGATGTTTTGGCATGTTTTGGGTTCCTGAAGTCCTGAAGTTCCTATCGCCTATCTCGGTCTCCTATCTCATCAAAATTCAAAGTTTGAAACTCAAACCCTTAAACTTAAACGTCTTGACCTCCCCAAAGACTGGTCAAGACCTATCAGTCGGCCCACCATTGCCCACCATCACAATAATGTTGACGTTTCAAGTTTCCACCTGGTATGGACGTACAACGTGATTCTACCACTTACCACCACACGACTGTAGCCGGTAACCCGTAACCACGGATAACTTGGATAACCACTGATAGACTGATAGCCACTAAATCATTGCCAAGTGCTAGTCATCAACTTAGTGTTCGACTTGATCAACTGATCATTGTGGTCACCATCCCTGCTAAGCACTTGCCGTTGCAGATGCAGCTGTTTCAAAGCAGCTGTAATAGTGGTGCGTCAGATTCCGGTGTGTCTACGTCAGACAACTTTTGTGACACAGTGTGCCAAAGGGTGCACATCGTCCAGTGTACACGTAAACATTGATGATATGAAATGAGGTAAATGGTACCCGGTACCTTAGCACAGGCGGCTGGATATGACAATTTGTTTTTGCAGTCTTACGTTTAAACCCGGCGAGTGCGTGAAACACTGCCGGGCTGTACTGCACGGTGTCGATCTGGCAGTTCAACTCGACTCATGGTGACCATACGGCGGTGACCATTGGCCATTCCTGGATGGCGCGTTGGTGGCTGGACAAGCGGAACCACAACCACACATAAAAGAATCGTGGGAAGGTTACGTTTAGATTAAGGCTACCTTGAAGGAAACATATTTGCAGAGTTGATTATACGCCTATATGTCACTATACATACGCTGCGCGCCAAATTCACTGTAATGCCAAGTTCTAATTCTTCAAGTAATATCAGTTGCCAGTACGGACATCGAACAATGTGTGTTAATTAAGCATGTTTACTTGTTTACCAGTTTACCGTTTACCATTGCCTTTTTCTGTTGGCCCGTTGGCTGATTACTTACTAGCGAGCAGCGAGTAGCCGTTCCTATCAGCATCATCAGAATCAGCATCATGGCCACAGCCAGGCTGAATCAGCAAGCATTGAGATGTTGTAATATAGCTGTAGAAGCGTCGTATTCCTTTTCGATTACATGGCTAAAGGCGAAGGCCAGGCTAGTCCACACTCTCTAAATTGTTGCTGGGCTAGAGCACCCATGGATCATAGTAGCTGTAGCGTAGCTATAGTATATTTGATATATGTGACATATTGATATACGCAGCATGCACAACACAAAACAGATTTACACATGATTATACATGCTTGGAATGCTTTGCACATGGCACACAAGGCGCACAAGGCACAATGTCTTTTCTTAAATAAATGAAATGACCTACATGGCCCAATATGAATATATGTCGATGATTATGGATAAAGTTTAAATTTGAATAAGTTTGAATAACTGAAGTCGGTTCCTGGTTCCCACCATCGTCAGCAGGCCAGTCTTGTTTGCTTACCATGGCATGGCTGACCCTTACGGCCTTTACGGCTTTGCTTTGGTTTGAGCTATCTGACTTACGGCGATGACTGCGATGACTCGACGGGACTTCAATTCATCGTCCTGAGTCTTGAGTTCCGACTGTGTTCTGCTCCCGTGTCCGCTCCACAACACCGGCCCGTACAAGAGAAAAGGATAGTTTTGAACTCAGAGTCTACGAAGAGCATGGCAATGACAATTTTTTTCAGACCTGGTACCAGTTCACAACTCGCAAGCCCAGTAGCTGTTGAATGTTGTTAGTGTTGTTACTGTGACTGTGTCTCAGAAATAGCAAGTTGGTTGGTTTGATTGGTTACAAGGCTACAGGTTGGTAGTTAATTGTTCTTAGTTACTTAGTTGTTGATTTGTTGATGCTTGTTGACTGCTTGTTGGTCTTTCCGAACCTCATTATATTGCTGGCCCAGCCCACCGGGCCCACGGGTTGCCGCCTGCAGGAACAAGCAAAGAACGGCAACGCTAAAGATTCCGCAGTGCCAGGAGCTGCAGCCAAGTCGGCTGACAAGACTGCCGAAGTGGAGATGACGCACAAGAGTCTGACTGAAGTCTTAGGGTTCGTGCCTTCGGATGCTAGCATGCTGTCCCACATAGCTTCGGGGAATTTGGATGCCTCTCCAGTAGGTGGTGCGAATGTCTTTGAACCCACAACAATTACCCTTCCAGACCATGTTCCCTTTGACTTTGTGGCAATTCGAGAGATCATGACGGAATTGCAGGCAGCAATTTTCCGTTGGGCTTATTCGTATGAATCCAGGAAACACATGGAAGATATCTACGTTGACATCTCCAAGCCGTCACCTGCAGTCTTGTGCAGATTTCCATGTGAGCTGACCAAGGAGCAGGACTTCTGCCTGCCACTGGCAGGGACTGTCTCATTGACCCCTTCCAACCATTCCTTGCCACTTTGCGTGTCAAGGCTGCAGTTTGGGTCTGGTGACTGGTTCTGACTGGTTTGTGCAAACGGGGACCGGACGGGACAGGCCATGACTGTCAGTTGCAATTTGTCACTGTGACTTGTCACTTGTCATCTTATCTCATCTCATGTCGTTTCAAGGACCTCAGGGATTGATGCGATTGATTGTTTGTTGGTTCCTATTATAAATTATAAATCAAGTTTCCAAGGATTATTGCACTTGCAAGTGCGCAACTACTATACTATACCCTCTGCCTCAAGGTTTTCACTGTGTCAATGTCAAGAGTCAAGTCACCTCGTTGCATATGTTCAAACTCATTTGACACTGACTCATCGATGATTCATCGACGATGATGCCGTTGATGCTCAGCGATCCTATTCCTTTCAAAACCGTTCTCCTTTGATATCTACTATCAGTCCCTGTGCATCTCAGCCAGGTCGCGTCCTTCTGTCCCTTTCATGATTCAATTCCATGCTTTTCTCGCCAACACTTTGAGGTAGTGAGCAAGGAGATGACCCCAGCCGCGCGTTCTACGGAGGGTGTCTCCTGGGATGCAGAAGAATCTGAGTTGAAGGTCGTCATATATGTGACTGGAGATTCTCACAAGTGTATTGGTGGGGATCAATTTGTGCCTGCGTGGTCCGTCAAGTCGGTGTCCAAAGACCCTTTTCTCGCTTTGGGTCCTATTCGACTTGATGTCCGCAAACCAGAGTCATGGATGCCTAGAAAAAACATAGTGCAGAAGGACCAGAAGAAGAAGGATCAGAACCGTCAGAAAGATCAGACTCCCAAGAAAGACCAAGCCGTGGAGATTTCAGATGATTCTCCTGAAAAGACGACCGAGGTGCCCAATGCAACCAAGGATGGTCAGGTAGCCAAGGTTGCTTCGCAGGTTCTTGATGTTGATGATGACGCGGAGGAGGAGGAGACGCTTTCAATCCAGGCACCTTGTCTCATGCCTACGCATCCTTTCGGGGATCTGAAGCAGGCCGGGGACAATATCCCATTTGCAGAGTATCTTGACGGCATTTTTTTCATTCTACGCTTTGTGGTCCATGAGTCCGCGGCCCTCGCACATTACCGTGGGGGCATGGGGCCTGGTTAAGTGGTCAAGCTACCAATGATCAGGATAAGAGTTAAGTTGACTGGGTATAAAATCACTGTACCACTGTACCACCGCAATGTACCACCAAATCCATGAGAGCTTGAGGTAAGTATCAAGGCAAGATACGGCGAGAAGCGAAGAGTTTACGTTAGTTTTCTGACAAGTTTTCTGACCTTTTGACAGACTTGACAGACAAACTCAACACGGCTTCAGGTTTCACGGGTCCGGTTTCAGATTTTCACATGTTGATCGTTTAACACCATGCATTACACACACACAGAGCGACACGAAGCCGACGCATTGAACAAATCTGTCGTCATCGAGTCGAAGAGGGATCGAGTCGAGAAAATGAATTCCGGATTTCAGATTCACGAATGCATGACTGAATGAACTCATTCATGTGACTCATGTGAATGAATCAATGGTTGAACGGATATGACGGTGATGCTGGTGCTGGTGTGTCAGTGTGTGTGTGTGTGAAACGTCTGTAGAGTAGAGACATAAAACTTCCATGTCTGTATCGGTTGTGCTCCCTAGGGCTCACTCTATTTTTCAAACATGCAGAATGCAGATGATTTTTCAATTAAGCAGGGGGCTAGTAACCCATGACTGTCTGTCCTGGCCAACGAAGACAAGACAGCATGGGGGTGCAAACGTGCCCGCAACTTTGATTCTGGTTTTTTGAAATGGCAAGGGGCTAAGCCGAGAACCCCAATGCAGATTTTGCACGGACATGGCGAAGGGCTAAGCCGAGAACCCTGCTGCGAAAACTTATCTGGGCTTATTTAGACTTTTTGGATCAGTTTCCCAAGATTGTCTCGGTTCTGCACGGTTTCCACAATCTGTTTCCTGGGATATTTCATCCAGTATCTGGTCCGGATCTTTTTTATCGATGGTCTTCTATTTTGGGGTCTACTTGAACCTGTATCTGATCGTGATTCACTATATCGGAATTCCTTCATATTATTCGTATACCACTTCAAGGAGATCTACTAGATCTACTTTCTAATTGCATGTGATGGGATTCAGTTCCCAACGGATCACTTCAATGATCCAGTTCTTGTCTAGTGTGTGTGTGTGTGTCAGCGACGCAGCAGTCGACATGAAACTTGAGATCAGATGTGATTGACTGACACCATTCTGACAAGACTGATATTCCTAACCATTTCACCGTTCACCCGGTACCGTTTCTAAGGTTGACTCGGGGATCTTTTCGTGAAGGCACTGGATCCAGCAGCCACATCCGCCAGCTCGGAAAGGTGATGGACAAGCTTGGATTTGGTGCCCTACGTGCCAACCTGATCAAGTCTGAGGCAGATGACGGGCAGCAGCCAGGGCCGGCTCAAAGTAAAGCAGCCAAGAAGGCGTTGAAGAACGCCGACCATTTGCTCAGGTAGTTGTAGTTACTTTGAATTGCAACGGACCAACAATCTTGATCTGAGAAATGAGTATGTATGTCGTATTATGCACTCAAAATTTCAGAATTTTCACGACCATTGACTGTGTACAGCGTGTTATGGGCTATGCTATGTATTAATAACGTGCTGTTCCACTGTTCCATTTACCTTTCGTGCTCAATCTCAGTGCCGGGTTTCTTTGGCCTAGCGACTCAGCACGCTGCAGTGCCTAGCGTCGCATTTTTGAGTCTTATGGCCTCTGTGGCCTCTGTGGTAAATCTTGTTTCCTTGATCAGTCCGGTCGGTTTGGTCGGTTCGGTCTGGTTTTGCTATTAGATTTGATTTATTGATGTGTTTTTCGCAACATCGTAGTTAATTAGTCTTCATTCGCTACAATCCTTACAAGAATTCATTTAGGTTAACCTATGTCCTACATAGAACCAACAAACATAGGTTCAGGACATGTCAGACATGTCTGTAGATTCTGAGACAGAAGGTCATCAAAAATCGAAGCGCACACATGGGTCACATTCTTCACTCATGATTTCATTGATTCTGTTGGTTCATTGACTTTTTGACTTGACACAAAAAACCGTGAGAAGAGCCAGAGTCATAAACCGACGGACTCAATCAAGATTGAGAGGCGAAGGCGAGGTCGTACCATATTATGACGATAGGGGGCACGTAATCCATGCACAGATATGTGGTTGCCAGCTCTGACACTTTTTTGCGTATGAAGATCGATCCAGCGCACAGTGGAGCTGCTGTTTCAACCGTTGGATGGGCCAACGGTGAACCTCAACCTTTAATTCAAACGGATTACATTTAAGCCCCATCAGTTCCTGAGTACTATACTATTATTTTTGCCAGGCAACTGTTGCTTGGCCGAGCCTGCTTTTGCGATTTAGAGCAGTGCAGGGGCAGCGCAGTGATATAGTGTCTTGTACAGGAGCCAAGTTGGTGACACTATGTTCACGATGCGGATGAGTGGAAGAGGGCCAGAGGGCCGAGCATGGCAGTGTGACATTTGTGACAGCAGTGTCGCAGCTTGCAAAAAAAGAAAAGAACGTTTGACCCAGGGATGCGATGATGAATGGATGAACCAATCACGGAATCACCTTGGTGATGACAGTGATGAAAGTGATGACAGTGAGTCTCTGGGTGTGAGACATTGACATTGACCCACGACAACCAAGAAAAGATAACGACTAACGACCGCACGGACGGTAATGACATTGAATTCACCAAACTGTAGGCTTACTCAGCAAGTCTCAACAAATACTAGGCAGACTAGAAGGACTAAACAAACGGTTTTTAGGCCAGGGGGACGTGGCACACTTTCAAGTATGCAATGTGCGTTGTGCATCGGATGCTGATACTATTGATTAGTTTCAAGTTTATTTCAAATCAAAGAATCTTACCGTTATCTCATCTATATTTTCAGTACAAATACCGTTCATTACTGATTACTTTCCAAAATTTCAAAATGAATCGTCAAATTCACTTGAGGGAAGATCCCCAATTGATTCCAAATACATTCTACCAGTTCTAACATGTATCAATCTATCTACCCAAGCAAATCTCCTTTGAATCCATCTCTGTCTAGATTTTTTGGATGATTCCAAAAGTTCTACAAAGTTGCATTTTGATCATTTTGCTAGATCACAGGAAGGTTCACGTGCAGAACTGTCATGACATCCAGCTTTGACCCCTGCCGTTAGGATCCAAGACCCGGGTCGACCTGACAACACCATATATCCCCCCCTTAAAGCAGCAGATTACAAATGGGACGATGGTTCTGGATGGTATTGCGACGGGTATGGGTATACCTGGCAACAGGGACCAGTCCAAAGTGCGGAACCGAGTGCAAGTCACGACAATAAGTCTGATGTCCAAAAGACTGGCAGTGTCGGCAGCATGATCATTAATCCTTTGTTGTTTGACATGACATGTGAAACCACTGGAGGTCTTAGGTTTGTGCATGAGCATGAGGTTGCTGACATGGAAACCGAGAATAGGCTTGTGGTTGATTGCAAAGACTTTGAAAGTGAACTGGCTGACACGGGTTGTGTGCTGGCAAGAGGTTGCGACAGCTGTACTCGTGAGTCAGAAAAAGAAGATGAAAGTGAGTTGGCTGACACGGGTTGCGTGCTGGCAGGGAGCTGCGACAGCTGTACTCGTGAGTCAAAAGAAGTTGAACTGGCTGACATGGGTTGTGTGCTGGCAGAGAGCTGCGACAGCTGTACTCATGAGTCAGAAGAGAAAGATGAGCTGACTGACACAGGTTGTGTGCTGGCAAGAGGTTGCGACAGCTGTACTTGTGAGTCAGAAGTAGTGAGAAGTGAACTGGCTGACATGGGTTGTGTGCTGGCAAAAGGTTGCGACAGCTGTACTCATGAGCCAGAGGAAGTTGAAGCGGCTGACATGGGTTGTGTGCTGGCAAGAGGTTGCGACAGCTGTACTCATGAGCCATGGTTTTGTGGTTTGAAGTGTGGAGATGAGGTTGGACTTGGTGACAGTTCCAACTTGGAGACATGTTTTGTTAATGACCCCAGCCGAGACTTGTGTGCCACTGTACCGATGAAAGTCGTTTTGGTGCGTGCACATGATTGGTTTGACGACCACAGTGAGGTTTCGGTTGAACAGCAGATTGAACCTTACTTGAAGTTTTTGCGACCTTTGCTTTCACAGGTCGCTGACAACACCGATGCTTCTTGGTGGCTTCTTGACTCTGGTGCATCCACAAGTGTTTTGGCTGAATCGAACTTGTCAGCCTTCAGGTCAGTGCTGCAGGACAGTGAGGGGTTAGGTGGCTACAAAGCTGCCAATGGATCCTCAGTCAACATGTCAGGCACTGCTGAGATTGGAGTACAGATGCACATGTCAGGCACATCAGGTGATGGTTGGTGTTGGAAGAAAGCACGTTTGAATGTTTTGGTGGGTTCCATCCGGCACAACATTTTGTCAATTACTTCATTGGCAGATTCGGGATGGAGATTCACACAAGGTCCAAAAGGTTTTGATTTGTTTCATGAGAAGCTCGGAATGCATTGTCTTGATGTTGCTTATTTTGCCAATTGTCCTTGGGTTCGTTTGTATCCCGATGTTGGTAGTAGTAGTGCATACAGGTCTGACTTGATTGTGAGTAACACTCATGACTTTTCTGTCGCAGCTGTGTCTGGAGGAGACGACAGTGAACTGGCACGTCACCGGAGACAGGGACATATACCATTCAATCCGAATTGTTTGGAGTGTGCCAAGGGTCGTTCCGTTTTACAGCACAGAAGAGACAAGGGTGACAGGAAAGAGGTTTCTATTCAGGCCGATTTTGCATTCCTCAAGACATCAGGCGAGATCGCCACAGACGAACTCCCAGGTTCGGTGAAGATCCTTGTGTTAACCGAGATGATGTCGAGGTGCATTGGCTATGTGGTGGTTGGAGAAGATGTCGAAGCAGCCAGGAGACAGATTGTTGCATGGCTTCAACATTTTGGGTTGACTTCGAAGGCAGTCTCCATTGACGTCCGCACCGATAGCGAGAGGGCAGTGGGAGAGATCATTGGATCCTCTACTGGCCGATATACGTTCGCTGTTCGGAGAGCCTCGCCACAACAACATCGATCAATTGGGTCGGCTGAGCGAGCAGTTAGGGAATTAAAGGAATCCTTTTCTGTACTGAGAGCTGATCTGAATGCACAAGGGTTGGATGTCACGTTTTCACATGAGAATTTGGTTGATGTTTTGACGTATTTGGCTTTGTGCAACAACCATTTTTCGACATCGAGAGGTTCGGACAGAAGTCCATTGGAAATGGTTTCAGGAAGGAAGTTATCCAAACCAGTTTCGACTTTGTTTGGTGCTCAGGTTTTGGCAGAGATTCCTGATTCAATTCGGCAGCATTCACCACTTTCCACGAGGAATGTTGAATGTACTTTCATTCACATGGGTTTGGAACGAGGTCCAGTTGTGCAGGGTCTCATTCGTGTGGATGGCAAAGCTGAGTTGATGCGTTTTGTAGCTAGGAACATCAGGGCTATTTCACCTTTGAGATGGGATTTGAATTCGGGACAGGGAGTTTTGACTCAATTTGATACTGGGACTGTAGGTAGTAGACCCCAAATTGTGAATGACAGTGGGACTGCACCAGCTGATATGAGTCAGCTACCTCCTGAAGAGTTGCGAAAGTTGAAAGGCCAGAGTTTGCCGGCACCTTCACAGCCCAAACTTGTCTTGCCAGAGTCCAGCAGTGTGAAGAAGAAACTGGTGAGTTGCGTTTGGCGCCAGCAGTGCCGTTAGCAAGATCGAACGTTGTCGTGACTCCACAGGAAGTTCCAGCAGAGCCGTCTCGAGTTTCTGTCACTCCATCTCCTACGTCACCAGCAGATACTGCAGATGTAGCTATTGGTAGTCCTGAGAGTTCTGAAAGAACTTCACCTGACGTATCACGTTTTGAACCGACTCGTCGATGTCCAGCATGTGAGAGTGGCATGGAAGCACCTGGTATTAGGCACAATAAGGAATGTAGGAAGCGTTTTGCTGAGTTTGAGGAACAACGGAGAAAAGAAAGACGTGTTGAACCTGCACTCTCTCAGGAGAGCCCTGTTGTCGTACCCCAGGTTCAGGTGCCAGTAGAAGAGGTCGATGATGAAGAATTGGTACCAACACCTGAGTCCGCTCGGCGACAGCCGGAAACACAGGTTGAGTACACTAGAAGGTTTAAAAGGAAAGCTGAAACCGACCGAGAACAGTTGGAAAGAGAGATCCGTGAAGATTCTGAGGAACTGCTTCAAACAAACATGGATTTTGATTGGTTTTGGGTTGGTAGTGGTGAGCCTGTGTTGGTTGCGAGTTTGGGTACACTTGAAGGTCCAGCGTCGTTTGCTCCGGCAACATCTCCAGAAATGTTTTCTGGTTCTCTTGATTCTGTTTGTTTCAATCGAGGCAATGAGCATGATTTTGTGAAGATGCGTCTTGGAGGTCAAGATGTCTTGGTTTGGAAA